GGGGGAGGAGGGAGAGGTGTGAGGGGAGAGAAGGGAGGGGGAGGAGGGGGAGGTGTGAGGGGAGAGAAGGGGAGGGGAGGAGGGGGAGGGGTGGGGGAAGGAAGGGGAAGAGGGGGAAGGAGGAGATGGAGGGGGAGGGGGAGAGGGAAGAGAAGGGGGAGGAGGGGGAGGAAGGGGAGGAGGAGACAGAGGAGGAGGGGAGAGGTGTGGGGGGGGGGAGGGGAGACCGCCTCTGCTCTGCATTCAACCTGGGCACTGAGCCGGGAAGAGCTGCCCCGTTGACCAGTGACGGGTCCTGGAAGGGGGACGTGCCTCCCCTGCTTTGGCGCAGCTTCATTTTCCCTCGCGTCTGCCCCGCGAGCCCTGTGCGCCCCGCACGCCCCGCGCACCCCGCACGCCCTGCCGGGGCAGGGAGAGGGGCGCGGCTCCCTTGCTCCGCTGTTTCACCAGCTCCCTGGGAAGCTCCTGGGGTTTGCACCTCGTCTGCTCGTGTGGGACTCAGTAACGCACTCCATGATCCTGGGGGGGGGCAGTTCAGCACGCCCCCCACTTTACAGACGAGGAAGTGGACGCTCTGTGGGGCTAAGGACGTTGGCTCTGGTGTTCGGCGGCGCTGAGGACAGGGCGCTCGGTGCCCACAGTGGCAGGACTCACCCAGGGCGTGGGTGGCCCTCCCGTGGCGGTGGGCACAGGAGACAAAGAGCACAGTGCAGGCTGGCCAGGAACGGGGTCTTTATTGGTGAACTCACCCAGCCAGCTCCGCAGGAGGGCACCGAGCCTGAGCCAGCCGCTCCCCGCTTCCCCCACCCCTGCGCTAGCTGGGGCGGCACTGTGTTCCCTCCAACAGCGCGCTGCTGCCCTCCAGGATCTGCAGGCAGGCGAGGACCCTGCAAGGGACCTCTGTCCCGGCGGGGGGGGGAGGGGGGTGACTGCAGGAGGGGTTCCCGGAGGAAGGTTCCAGAAACCTCCCCACACACTCCCCGCTGGGGCCGCTGCACAACTACGCTATGCCCCTCCCCTCAAGTCCCCTTCTCTCTGGGCCAGCTCGCCTCAGGCCCTGTGGCCGGGGTGCGGGCCATCCTCCGGGGACCAAGCCGCATCCGCGCCCAGTCCCTAGCGCCCCGGCGCCCGGCCCTCTCACACCCTGCAGCACCTGGGGTGTCCCCTGAGGGAGCGTCCATCTCCTGTCCTTGCACCGTGGAGGAGGCTGTGGGTGGCACCGGGGGCCGCAAGACGTGGCTGCGCCTCAGAACCTTCCATCTGTATGTTCTCGATCTAGCAGCTCACAGCTGGGGGTGGGGCGCCAGCCTCCCCCGCCCAGAGCGCCCTGCAGACACGGGTTCCCTGCTCTCCCGAGCCTGCAGGTGGGGCCCCGCCGCCCGGGGTCGGTCAGCCGGACGGACAGGAGGCCCAGGTGCTCGGGGGCGCCCCGGGTGGGAGCCGGGCGCAGCAGAGTCTGTCGTGGGGCTGCACCGACCAGCGGGCACGCCAGCCTGAGCCATGTCTCGGACGCAGAGGATTCCGGAAGGCCTGGCGGGAAGGCCGCTTGCCCATTGATCGGGTTCTCTCCAACCCCAGCTCTCTCACCTCAGGGACGGGGACAGAGGCGGGGGAGGTGAAAGGCATGGCCCAGGTCACCACCAGGAGGCAGACAAAGGCTGTGGACATGGCCGGAGGCACCAGCGCTGGAGACACGGAGGGGCGCGACAGCAGGTGACTCGGCACCGCAGGAGGGGCCCCGGGGGGAGGGGACACGGCCTGAGGACAAGGGGCAGAGGGCCTGGGGCTGGCGGGCCAGGCCTCTAACTTCAGGGCCGACTGGGAGGCAGACAGGGCTTCCCGGTCCAGAGACGATTCTGAAACTGAGTCGCACTGCGGTGGCGGCACCCTGCAGGGGTGCGACGGGACGGGGTCATTAGCACACCGGGGGGCAGGGTCTCCCAGCCTGGCCTCGGAGCCCACCTGGCCACCAGGTGGGGGTGGGGGGAGAGCAGAGAAAGCCAAAACCACTTCCAAGCCGCGCCCCAGAGCCGGGCGGCGCGGCTCAGTCTCCAGAGCTGAACATCTCAGCCTCCTTCTCCTTCCAGAAGGCGAAGCTGCGGTCGATGTAGCCGCAGATGTCCTCGCTGCTGAGGCCACCCCGCGGGCCGCCGGGCCCCAGCCTCTGCGCGGGCGGCTCGGGGCCGCCGCCGGGGGCGGGGGCGGGGGCGGCGGGCGGCAGGGGCCCGAGGGGCGTCAGGCCCGACGTGCGGCCCGGCTCCGCGTCCCCGGCGGGGCCCGGGCCGGAGCCAAAGAAACGCGCTTTGATGTCCTCGAAGCCGTCGGTCCAGGCGCGGCGGCCGGCGGCCACCTCGTCGGTCACCGCCTTGTGGAAGGCGCGCGCCGCGTCCCAGCCGTGGGCGCCCAGGTGCTCGAAGACCTCGAAGCACAGCAGGCGGCGCATCCTGCGCTCCGCGGCCGGCAGCTCGCACTCCAGCAGCCGGAAGTAGCCCAGCATGAAGAGGTCGGGCGTGAGGCGGCCGTAGGGCACGGGCGCCCCGTCCACGTGGGGCAGGAACTGCTCGGGGGACAGCGGCCCGCGCGGCCGCCGGCTCAGCCGCCGCAGCTGCCGGGCCGGCACGTGCGCCATGACGGCCTTCCAGTGGCCCAGCAGGTGCGCGATGATGGTCCGCTGCTGCCACAGCCGGCCCAGCCGGGGGCCGTCGCCGGGCGGCGGGGGCGGCGGCCCGGGGAGCGGCCCCGCGCGGCGGGCCTCGCGGCCCCTGCGGGCGGCCGTCTCGAGGGCGGGCGCGTAGGCCGACCTCTTCCAGTGGCTCAGGAAGAGCATGACGATGCGCTCCTTGCGGAGGCTGGCCAGGTGGGCGCCGGGCGCGGCCCCCGCCTCCCCCGCGTCCCCCGGCCCGGCCGCCCCTCCCGCGGGGCCGCAGCCTCCGGGGCAGCGCCCGAGCCCCGGCCCCGGCTCGCAGACGCCGGGGCGCGCGCCGCGGGCGGACTCGAAGTTGCCGCGCAGCGATCGCACCGACACGCCGCACTCGCGGATCTCGCGCTGCGCCTCGCTCCGGGGGGCGCTGGCGGGGGCCTCCCCGTGGCTCTCGGGCGGGGGCCGCTCCTCGCCCTGCACCAGCCCGTTCATGCCCTTCAGCAGCAGGGACAGGCTGCGCACCAGCCGGGCCACGTGGCTGCACCACAAGGGCAGGGGCTGCTCGCCGCGCTCCGCCCCCGACGCCCCCGAGGCGCCCTCGGGCTGGGCCGCCGGCGCGGGGGCCTCCTCGCCGTCGGGGCCGGGCGCCCGCGGCAGGAAGCGGCTGTTGACGGTGATGCTGACCAGGGGCGCGGGCAGCAGGGCCTGCAGCGCGGCCGCCAGGCGGCCCAGCTCGCTCTCGTACTCCTGGCAGCGGCGGCGCAGCTGCAGCTCGGCGATCTGCCTCTCCAGGTGCGCCAGGTCGTCCTCCGTCAGCAGCTCCCCGAAGGGGCCCAGGATGGCCTGGTGCGTGTGCGAGTACCGCCAGGCCGCCTCCGCCGCGCCCCCGCCGGCGTCCTGGAAACCGGAGGCCGGGTCAGCGCGGGGAGCGGCGGGGACGGGCGCCGCCCTAGACACCAGCGCCCCCCCCAACCCCCCCGGACAGAGAGTAAACCAGGAGGCTGGCCAGGCCCAGCCCCGAGTCAGGCTCAGGGCGGCCACTCTGCCCTGTGGGCGCCCCGTCTTTGCCCTCAGAAAGGGGCGCCTCTGCTCTGCCACGCCCACATCCTAATCTCGACTCCTTGGCATTTAATCCAAAGGGTCTGTCTCAGACCCTGCCGCCCGCCCTCTAAGCTCCAGAGCCTTCTGTGGCTGGGTGGCGGCTCTGGCTGTCTGCTCTGGGCTCTCCGGCTGGCTGCCCTGCCCCCAGTGCTCACAGCCGGTCGGACAGACAGACACTCAGGGACCCCCGAGCTGGCCCCCTCTGGGCTCTGTGCCATCCTCATCACAGCTCAGGACCCCCAAGGGAGGAGCACCGTGTCACAGGGGAGGGGCCTGAACCGCCACCTCGTTGCCCAGGGGCCTGGGGTTGTCCGGTCCCGGGCAGTGCTCTGTGCCCGAGTCCTGACCGCCCGGCCCAGCAGGCCCCGGGCACGGAGCAGGGCCTGCACGGGTCATTCAGACAAAACCGAATCCCCTCCCGGTAAGACGCGGGAACTACCCGCACAGAACCGGCAGGGGAGCCCGCTGCCATCCAAGCCAGATCACGGCTTCTCTGCTCAGATTGCCAGAGGCTCCCCAGAGGCCTGACAGTGAGCCGTCCTAGAATATCGGCCGCCGGTCCCTCTCTGACCTCACCTCTGACCTCACACCTCCTTCACTGCACTCAGAAGGTCCAGCCTTGCCCTGGTCCTCCCTTGGGCAGCCTCTTCAGGCCTCAGGACCTTTGCACCTGTTCTCTCTGCTTAGAATCACTTATCCCAAATTCTCACGGGGCCCCTCTCTCATTTCTTTCTGGCCCCTGCTCAGGGTCACCTCCCCAGACAGGCTGCCCTTGAGCACCCGGATATGGAATAGTCGCTCCCCTTCCCAAGGCTCTACCTCTTTCCATGACACCCTCCCTGCTCCCCCCCCACACCCCGTCAGGCGCCCAGTCACCCTGTCTTCCCCGCTGGAACATAAGGGCGGGAGGGCAGGGCTGCCCCCTCACTGCCTAGAACGGGACCCGCACGAGGCAGAGGTGGGGTACAAGGCTGGACAAAGGAACACGTGGAACACCCCTAACCAGGTGGGGGTCCCCAGCTCCCTGGTCTGGTTCCGCTTCATCGCTGGCAGAGGAGGGAGCGGGGGCCACAGCGGGACACGCAGTGGGGCGCCCAGGTCGAGGCGTGGGCTCAGACCCCACACCTCCCACGACCACTGCGGGGACAAAGCCTCCACCCTCTACCGCTTGGCCCCGCCCCGCCCCTCTCCCCCCCTCGCCCGGGCCCTACCTGGGCCTGGGGTGCCGGGTCTGCGCCCAGGCGTGCTTGCAGCTTCCGCACCATCACCTGCCGCTTCCACTCGGGGACTGGCCTGCCGTGCTCGTCCTGCGTGGGCACCAGCCCGTCGAGGTCGCCCGAGGGCGGCCTGTGCAGCTGCAGCGCCGCCGGGCAGTCCGGGGCGTCCCCCGCCGCCATCTGCCCTCCCTGTGCAGATTCGGCCAGGTCACTCAGGCCCTGAGGGGACCCCGCCCGGACCGGTGGGGAGGGCCATACGGCAGGGGGTGGGGGGGAGGGGGGGGTGAGCAGGGCCCAGGGAGGAGGGGGTGGGGATAGGCCGGGGAGGGGTGCGGAGACCCAGGCGGGTAAGCACTGACTTCTGAGGGCAGCGACCCCCCCCCCCCCGTGTCTGCTGCAGTATCCAGGTATGTGGGTGGGGCGATCTCTGGCTGAGAGAGGCAACCTCGAGATTCTCCCCTCCTTCTATACATGGCAGAGAAGAGGTTGCCATGCGGATGGGCAAACTCATTTGGAGAACAGTTACATAGAGAAAGTGTGGTGGCCAATTCTGAACTGCAGTACTTGTCAGAGCCTTTATCATTATTTTTTAAAATTTTTTATAATTTATTTTTGAGACAGAGACAGACAGAGCATGAGCAGGGGAGGGTCAGAGACGGAGGGAGACACAGAATGTGAAGCAAGCTCCAGGCTCTGAGCTGTCAGCACAGAGCCCGACGCGGGGCTCGAGCCCACACACTGCGAGATCATGACCTGAGCCGAAGCCGGACACTCAACCGACAGAGCCACTCAGGCGCCCCTTGTCAGAACCTTTAATGTGCTATGTGCACTGTAACTTTCCAAGATAGGCAGCACGGGGCAGCAGTGTTCCTGGGACCCATTCAAGGAAGGGCTGGGTTGGATTTATAACGGCCTCATGCCCGGAAGGAAAAGGAGGGAGAGGAGCTGGCCTCCTCCAGAGGGTCCTGGGCTGGGCGGGAGCCGCTGAGGGTGGGGGCCCCACCCACTCGTGGACAACGGCATCTCGGCCCCAGAAGTGACCTGGCTGGGCCGCACAGAAGACTGAGGAGAGGCCAGGAGAGCTTTGAGGGTTGGCTGGGGGCCTTGGGAGAGGGAGGCGGCGGCGGAGGCATACCTCGGGGACAGTGGTGGCGCTGGTGGTGATGCTTGGGGGCGCTGAGTAGGTCATCTGCTCCCTCGGGAGAGGCCGGTCATGCTGGCCAGGCCAGGCTGGGCTGGGAGACACTATTGTGGGGGGAAGGGAAGAAGAGTCAAGGGGCTTCCCGAGCAGGCGGGGAGGGGGTGGGGGGCAGGGCACCCTGCAGCTGGGGCAGAGCTGGTATTTCCAAGCCTGGGCAGTCGGAGAAGCTGCGTTTTCTCCCCGGCCCTGTCCCTGGAGGAGCGGGGGGCGGGCAGGGGGCCGGGTGGTCTGAGGACCTAATGCAGCCCCGTCAGACCTCTCCTCTCGCCGCCCCTCCCAAAGCACGCCAACACGCTGGCCAGGGCCACAGCCTGCGTGAGAAACAGGCCCTGCATCTCACAGACACACACACACACACACACACACACACTCCTGTGCGACTACAGAACACAACCCGCTTCATGAAGCGGTCCTTACCCGCATGCATACGGGGCCTGCTGGGATTTCTCGTGCTGTTCGTTGCATGTTTTGATAGCAGGGCCCTAACCCCCCGCCAGCCGGTGGCCTGCCCCCGCTAGTTGTGAATATTCCACCTGCTGGGAGCTCCGACCAACAGCAGCAGATCCAGAAGGGGCCTGGGCCCCAGGGACCTGACCTCTGAGATTTACCTCTCTCTGGACAAGCCGAAGCCCAGAGAGGGAATGAGGCCGCCCAAGATCACACAGGCAGCGCATCCAGGCCCTGGGGGCCCAGAGCTCTCGGACGGACCCCGGGGGGGCTGCGCAGGGGCCAGGTCATTGTGCTTTTAAGAGCCCACTACGGAAAATGCGCATCCTCCCTTTAAAGAAGCGGAGCTGGGGGCTGGGTGGCGGCAGGGAGGACCCGGCCCCCGTCCTGAATGCCCCGTGGGCCCAGCTCCCTGGAGTCGATGTTCCCAACCCACCCCTCAAAGGGCCTCAGAGGCGAGGCCGGGGGCGCCCACTCCCCGCACGTGTGGCCCAGGCCAGCCTCTCCTGGAGACGTGTACTCACAGCTGGGGCTCCTGAGGCCCGAGCCCCTCATCGCATCCTCCGGGGAGTGCCTCGCAGCCGACAGCGGAGGCGGGGGAAACGGTGGTGGCGGTGGCGTCATCAGGAGCGGCACCTGGGGGTGGACGGACCTGGTCAGCAGGGGGCTCCGGGGAGCCTTCACTTGGGCCGGGTGGAGGGGGCGTCAGTCAGGCTGGCTGTGGCCCAGGCTCCCTCAGGGTGCAGGATGGGGGGGTGGGGAGAGATGTGCATCTTGGAACAGGGCTTGGAGAGGGTTCAGGGTACAGGGGTAAGGCTCTGTCCTCCCGTGTCTGTCCACCCCCCAGGCCCGGTGACCAGGACTCCTCACACGCCCCACGTACTTGTCTCAGTGCCGTCACTCACCGTGCCCGCCCATGCGGCCACCACCACCACCACCGCCACCGTGTGAACCCCCCATCTAGAGGCCTGGCTCAGCCTTTCCCCGGAAGCAGCTTAGCCCCGCAGCTGCAGGTGCTGGGCTAGGGTCGCGTGTCCAGCCTGCGCTTACCTCCCTCCGGCCTTATGAGACATGCATGCACATACCTGCACCTGTGCACGTGTGCACACAATCACACGCATGTGTACACACACATGCACACACTCATACATGCATGTCTATACACACGCACACACCTGCACCCGTGCACACTCATACATACACATGCAAGTGTGTACACGTGCACGCATAATGTATACACACACATGTACGTGACACACATGCATGCATGCACACATATGCATACATGTGCACATGCACACACACGCTCGTGCACACGCACCCCCGCTCCCTGAGCGTCCTGGATTTCTGTGCTGAGACAAAGGCCCTGGAAGGGCACCCCTCTCAGAGGACAGCAGAGTCCCGGCCAACGGGCACGGAGGGAAACCACGAGGCACTTGGGACACTTCTCAGACCCACAAGCAGGGGCTGTGTGGCTGCAGCCACGCCTCAGAGCAGTGGGGCCATGTCCTGGCCACTTAGAAACAGAGATCACCAGGGAGCTTGATGGTTGGGGAACCCCAGGCCTGGCACCGCAGGGGCACCCCAAACTCACCCCTGTATGCTGCCTCGTGTCCGGGGCGAGACACAGACCTGCCTCTGGCCACCTCCCCACCCCTGGCACCGACGGGTGGGAGGCCAGAAAGAGCCTCTGCCCGGGAGCTGTCTCCCCAGAGACTTCTGGGCCCGCCTACTAGCCAGCAGGAGGCACGGGGTGTGCAGGCTGCTCTAACAGTGCAGGGGTGCCAGCAGGGGGCCAGTGCTCACCTCCTTGCCCCTGCGTGTCCCTCCTTAGGCAGCAGAGGAATCTGCCAGGAGGATACCAGAGTCAAACTTGCCACATTTTGGCTGAAGTTGAAGTCCGGCCGCCACCGCCTCTTGGACACCAGACTCCGGGGCTCCGGGCGGCGTCGCTGATGCCCTTCTCACACCTGAGTGCCCCGGCTGGCATCTCTGGCCGTTCGGGCCAGGGCTGCACCTCCCTCCCCGAGCACCCCACCGTGGCCGTCAGACTAGAGCTCCTCACCCCTCCTTCCAGCGGACAGCAGAGGCCGGACACACCCCCAGGCTGGGGGTGCAGAGCCCCGAGCAGGACAGAGGACATGGCTCAAAACAGCCCCATGTGTGGGCCGTGTGGCCTGTGGCCGGGACCCGTGTCAGAAGGGTGTGACCCACGCCGCAGCTCCGTTCAATGCTCTGCTGTCTCTGTCTTAAAATTCTTAATCATTTTAGTGGCACCTGGGGGCTCAGTCGGTTAGGCATCTGACTTCAGCTCAGGTCATGGTCTCAAGGTTTGTGGGTTTGAGCCCCGTGCCAGGTTCTGTGCTGACGGCTCAGAATCCTGCTTCGGATTCTGTGTCTCCGTCTCTCTCTGCCCTTTCCCTGCTCATTCTTTGTCTCTCTCTCTCTCTCTCAAAAGTAAATAAACGTTAAAGTTCTTTAAATAAAAAAAATTAAATTCTTAATCATTTTTTAATAAGAAGCCCCAAATTCATCGTGTACTGGCCCTGTAGGTGATACAGCCGGTCCTGCTGGGGCAAAGCCCTGGGTCACTCTGAGTGTCCCCTTGCTCAGTCCACGTCCTGACCCCACCTCCCCGCAAGGAGGCACTGACGTTCGGTGGCCACCTCAGCTCGGCCATGTCCCCAGAGCCCCTGACCTGCTGCCAAGTGTCCCCAGGCACGCCATCGCTCTCCCGTGCGGGCCCCGAAGCCACGGCAGGAACATGGCCTGAGACCCCATCTGCCCGGCCACCACGCACCTCACACCTCAGTCCTTCCAGGAGCCGTGCGGAGAGCCCAGGAGCCCCGCGCCCGGTGGGCTGGGGAGTGTCCGCCGGCCCCCGGCCCGGGGGGGACCCACAGGCAGGGGCTGGGCTGAGGGCGGGGCTGCAGTTGCCCTGGCTGTTGCAGCTGCCGCCCCCGGGGGGTGCAGGAGGTGTCGCATTAATATTTGAAGGCGGAGGTATCAGGTGGCCAGGCGGGCTCGGGGTGGCTGTGGGATCCCTTACCAGGCACCGCAACCCTCCATGGCGCGGGGGAGCAGACCCTCCGGGGAGGTGGGCGAGCCTCCGATCCTCGGGCCACATGGGAGGGAGAGGCTGCCCAGAGGAACTCTCCGGTACGGCAGCTCCATCCCCGGCACAGCCCCGGGGAACAGCTGGGGACCAGGCTCGGAGAGGGCAAGGGGTTCCTGGAGGCCCCAGAGCAGGGATGTGGGAGAGCTGGGATCAGAATCTTATTTGAGACCCTAGTCCTGCTCCAGGAGACCCTCGAATCATTGCTCCTCTGGTCCAGGGACACCGGCAGCCGGTGGCTGGGCCTGGGCCTCCGGGGCTGCGGGGGGGCCCTGGCGCCGGCTGGGCCTCTCACCCTCCTTCCAAGGATGCGAAGGCCTGGCTGCATTTGTGGGGACAGACCCAGAGCAATCCTGCTGCTACCCCAGGCCCAGCGGTCCCCAGCTGTGACACACCCCTCCTGTGTGCACAGTAGCCACCTGGGCCCAGGTCACATCATGCTGGGACTTGGTAGGGGGAGAAGGGGACCCAATAAAACGTGATGCTTGCTCTCTGCAGGGGGTCTGAGACCCAGGTCTTCTAGCAGCATCCACGACGCAGACACTTGCTGGCTTACTAGCCGCAGGCAGGGTCGGGTCAGACCCCAGACCCTGTGGCACAGCTAGAGAACCGGGCACTGTGGGCCTGACAGAGGGCGGCTGAGCCCCGGGGGCGCCCCTGCCCGGCCAGGACACCCCCTGCTTCCTGCCTCTGCCTGGGAGCCCTCAGCCCCTCTGCTCTCAGAGGTGAGGGGCACGAATCTCCCTCCCTTCGCGGAGTGCAGGCTCAGCTCGGGCCGCAGCGGTCCCACCGGCGGGGGACGACAGGGGAGGCAGGAAGATGGTTTGAGGCCCAGGGGAATGGACTTTGGCCCCAGAGTGGCACCTGAGGCCGGGGGGACCTCAGGGCTGAATCCTGCTCTACCCCTCCCCGAGGGGAAGCGCCGGGGAGTCCCTCCCTGAGCCTCGGTTTCCCTGCCTCTAAGTCAGGAAGGTGAGGAATTGCGGAGGGGGCCTGGCAGGGGACAGCACCGGTGGGGCTGGGACCTCATCCCCATAGTCACCCCGGAGAGGAGTTCGAACCACGCAGGGTCCGCTATGCAGTTTCCCAGGCGGTGGGAGAACCGGCGTCCTGACTAACCAAACCTGCCCGGAGCCGAAGGAGCACAGGGGCTGGGTCCCGAGCTCTGCGTCCTGCGGGCTGGACACCACGGCCCTCAGACCGGGCGATCGCCCTGAGGGTGGCAGTCAGCTGGGCCTGGGCCGGCCCCCTTCCCGTGGCCTGCTGCGCTTTCCCTGTTTTCGGGGAGATTTGAGCAGTGCTGTGCCCGCCATGCATTATACATAGAGGACAGCCGTGGGCAGCAGGGTTGCACCCGGGCTGAGAAAATCATGACCCACAGATGCGCGCCGGACACCGGTCACCACGGCTGAGATTCAGTTACTGGCTGCAAAGCCAGGCCCCACCCTGCCCTGGAGAGGAGGCCACCCAGGGGAGTCCCTTGCCCTCTCTGGGCCTCCGTTTCCCCAGCTAAAATGAGAGGGTCCTAGAGTCCTTCCGGACCTAGGGGAGGGACTTAGCCCCCACCGTGCATCCCCTCCACCTTCACAAGGCTCTTCAACCCTGTTTTACAGGTGGTAACATTGAGGCTCGGAGATGCTCAGAACTCTCCAGCACTACTCAGCCAGAAAGAGCCCCCCCAAACCCGAGGGAGAGGCCACAGGGCTGGAGGCGAGCAGGACAGTCCAGGTGCTCTGGGAGGTGCTGGGAGGCTCTCCCCGCCCTTCTGGAGGGCCGTGCTTGCCATCTGGGGCCACTCTTCTTCAATGTTGCCACCTGGCCGGGACCTCACTCAAACCCGGGCCTGCAGCCGGGAGCCCAGCCCGGGAGCCCCTGGAGCCCCTGACCCCCCCAAGGTCAGAGAGGCCCAGCCCCTCACTGTGCAGAGGGGTGCCTCAGGGCCAGGCTGAGGCGGGGCCCGGCCTCCCTGAGCTGTAGGCAGGGCCTGGCCTTGTTCCTGGGGCTACTCACGGCTTCCCCCGGGCAAGTGCAGCCTGCCCTGTTGTGCAGAAGATGATGGCTTTCGCCACCTCTCCTGAGCCCAGCACGGGAACAGGCCAGTGCGGCGACCTCTGGATATTGCATTTCCATCAATATTGCATTAAGCACACAGCCCCCCCTCCCCGGCCCGGGGACGCACAGCTGACACTCTGCCCTCCCGTGGAGCCAAGCCTGCAAGTGTGCAGCAGGCGGCCTGGGAGGGGGGACGTGCCAGCCACAGGCGATGGACTGGCACCCCCTGCTGCCCTGGGTGCTGAGAGATGCAGAAGGGAGGCTCCAGTCCTAAGCCTGAGTCCCACAAGCTCCCTGAGTGCCCTGCAGACACAGCAATGAACCTCAAAGGCCAGCAGGGCACTGCTCGTCCACAGGCCGGGCTGGGGAGGCCACAGGGTCCGCCCGGATTGGTTTGGGGGCCCTGAGAGACCAGAATTCTGTCTAGAATCCTATGGTGATACAAGGGAGACGGTGAGGACAGCAAGAACTCCCAGCAGCCTGGGATGCTCTGCGGCCCAGGGAGGTCAGGGGACACCAGAACCCCCCCACCCTGCCCCCTACCAACCCCAGGGAGGTCAGGGGACACCAGAAACCTCCCTACCCCGCCCCCAGCCAGGCCCAGGGAGGTCAGGGGACAGCAGAACCCCCCCCCCCCCCCCCCCAGCCAGGCCCAGGGAGGTCAGGGGACACCAGAACCCCCCCACCCTGCCCCCAACCAAACCCAGGGAGGTCAGGGGACACCAGAAACCACCCAACCAACCCCCAACCAACCCCAGGGAGGTCAGGGGACACCAGAAACCTCCCCACCCCACCCCCAGCCAGGCCCGGGGAGGTCAGGGGACACCAGAAACCCCCACCCCCAACAAAGCTGGGCAAAGAGGCCGGGGGGTGGGGGTCTGGCAAGGGTGCAGGCACCTGGGGATGGAAGGCTGGGGTCAGGGTTGCTGCCAGGACAGGCTGGGGACGGCCAGAGACCCCTCCCTGAGGCCAGGGGGCACCTGCTCCCTGGTAGCAATGTAGCGCCCGCCCCACCTCCTGATCTCCACTTCCGGGGGGGCCCGTGACCACACAGGGGCTGGGAGGGACCCAGGGACATTCCTGGATGTGGGCTGGGAAGCCCCTCCTCTCACCAGGACCCCCAAGCTCCACCAACTCCTCAAGGCTGAGCCCAAAAGAAAACCTTCTACCAAGCAGTAACGGTGGACCATTCACTACGTACATTGTTCTGTAAATAAATTACTTCAGGCAGTAATTTCTCGTTTCTCAAACCACAACACCAGGGCACCCGTGCTGCCCCGAACCGCAGCGAGCCTGTGTGGGGGCTCCAGGGGCCGGTGACAAGAGGCTCTTGGCAGTGGCCGGGTGACGATCATCCCGCAGGCCCAGGGCCAGGGGGCCTGCCACCGTGCCTCGGTCTGTCCTGGGTGCCCCTGAGGGGAAAAGAGGCGCAGCAGCAGCCTGTTGACACCTGGCTGGGGGGGCAGGTCACCCCGTGGACCTCGGGCTCTCACCTGCAAACGGGGCCAGGTGATCCCAGGGACAACTTCTAAAAGGGTGGCCACTAAAGGAAACTGGCAAAAGCTGTGGCCTGTGGGGACCAGTTTGTCACAGCAACTGCCTTGGGCCTGGAAGAGGGGAGGGACGGGCGGGAGGGACCCAGGGGGCCAGACTCCATGCGGACCACACCGCTGACTCCAAGCCACCTGCCTGTCCGCCCCCCACCCACCGTCTGGGTTTGCCCACTCGCTCACACACCCATCTGATCCTGCTGCCTTCTGGACGGCCACGGGGCTGGCACCTCACTGAGGCCACCTCATCGGGATCTGCTCACCAAGGACCCAGGGACCTGCTCCTGCCCCCGGCGTACCCTCAGTCTGATGTCACCCCACACGAGTCCCGGCCAAGGTCCAGCCACAAGCCCAGCCCTGATCCCAACCATTGCCCTGGCCCTGTCCCAACCCATCACAGCCCCGGGGTGGCCCCAGTCATGGCCCTGTCACAGCCCGTCACAGCCCCAGTGCCAGCCTTTCTCACAGCCCCTGCCACGTCCCTACCATGGCCCGCCACAGCCCCGCCACAGGCCCCCCACGGCCCTCCCCACGGCCCCCCCACAGCCCCCCACAGCCCCTCCACAGCCCCCCACAGTACCATCCCAGACCTCGTCACAGCCCTTGCGGCTGTCCAGCCCCAGCCCCCGCTAGCTGACTTCCACCGCTGGCTCGGACCTGCCCAGGCCCCTTTTCCCGGGAATGGCATGGCGTGCACAATGAGCTTTGTCTCTAGCTTGGCCATCAGGGCAGCCGGGGCCCCATCACCCTGGCCCCCGAGGACGGATGGAGACCGTGGGGCTTACCGGCTGGGCCGTCTCCCGCAGGAAGCAGGCGCAGTCCTGGTGTCCGTGGTACTCTGCCAGGTCGGCCGCTGTGTAACCATCTTCATCCCGCAGGGAAGGGTCCACGTGGTGGGAGACCAGAGTCTGGCAGCACTGCAGGGAGGGGGCGCACGTGTGACTGCGGGGCCACCAGCCTGCGCCCACGACATTCACCATGTGCAACACAGGGCAGGTGCCATGCTGCCCTATCTCACAGGTGGGAAACTGAGGCTGCCGACAGCTGAGGGACTTGCCCAAGGCCCTGCGGCCTTTCACCGCAAGGACAGGGCTTGAGCCCCCGCCCCCCACCCACAACTGCCCCATCCAGGCAGCAGCACGCCCTGGTCCCGGGCAGAAGCCGAGGCATCTGCAGTCAGGCACTGGCCAAGGGCTCAGAGGTCCGTGCCCCCGGCGCTCAGTGCAGAACCCGCGTCTGTTTATACCACAGCACCCAGAGGTGTGTATCATTTTCAGGTGAAGAAACAGAAAAACGGAATGATGGCCAATTACTGCCGGATTTGTGAGCAGGGGTGGTAGGAATGACAGAGATTTGAGTCTGCAAATCTGTGAGGCGGCTGTGCCAGCAGCAAAACGGGTGGGCAGATAGATCGCATCAGGGAGAAACAAGTCCCCAAGGACAATGTAAAACATGGGCTAAATAGAAGTCACCTCCCTAAAGCATCAAGTGGTTAAGCAGGACGTGAGGAATGACCAGGCGAGTTCAGGAAACGTGGACTATCTGGAGGGATCGACTCACCACTCAGAACTGTTTGCCCTAAGAGCACCCTGATGCAGGACAGATGGTTATGACCTAAGTGGTTCTTCTGACAGCCTCGTGGGACAAGGGAGACCAGCCAAAGCTCAGGGGCTTCCAGAGGTGAGGGCTCTACCCTCATAGAAGAGGTAAACCAGAAGCCAGCCAGCCCTCTGCTTCCCGCCACTTGGTGGTCCAGGGAACATCAAGCCTGGAATGTGGACTGAGATCCTGGGCTCACAATTCCGGTGGGTGTTCGACAGGCAGAAGGAAATAAGATCTCCTCCAAGGCCTCAGGTGACTCCTACAAATTATTTTTCAAATATAAGCTCCAGCATACAGTCAGACAAAACCAGGAGCGCAAAGAAGTAAGACACCAGGACCAGAACCAGAAGATCCAACCGACAAGGAAATAGACACACAAAGACCTGGTAACAACTAACAGATAGACCACAACAGTGTTTCCTAACTTCAAGGGAATAAAAATCAAGCTTGAAAACATAGGCATGGAATTTTAAATGATAAAAAGTGAGGAGGTGGATTTGAGAAATGAGTATCAGTAGGTCGGAATATGGAAACCATAACTGCATTAAAAATCAAAGCTGTAGGATTAGTAAACAGAAAATTGGACAGAAGGAGCCATCCAGACACAGCACAGACAGACAAAAAGATGCAAACAAAAGCACCAGGTGACACAGGAGGGTCTAAAATATATGTGGGGCACCTGAGTGGCTCAGTCTGTTGAGCATCTGACTCTTGGTTTTGGCTCAAGTCATGATCTCACAGTTCACGCTGCCCTTCACACTGGTGGCATGGAGCTTGCTTGGGATTCTCTCTCCCTCTCTTTCTGCCCTTCTCCTGCTCCCTCTCTTTTCTCTCGTTATCAAAATAAATAAATAAACTTAAAAAATCTTCTTAAATGAAATAGGTATAATAGCAATCCTAGAAAGAGATAAGAAACAGTATGGGTGCACAAGTCCCTAAAGAGATAATGGCTGGGAATTTTAAGGGACTTCAGGAAGCACCAAAGCACAAATTCAAGACGCTCAAGCAATCCCAAGTGAGAGAAATAAAAAGCATTCCAAGTCAGGTCATATCTGTAGTGCCATTGCAGAAAACCAAAGACAAAGTGAAAACCTTAAAAGTGACAAGAAAAAGAATGATTATCTTCAAAACCATGGCCCCTCTCAGCTGACTTTTTTGTAGAAACCACAAGGCAATGAACGAATGACGTTTTCAAAGCAGCGAAAGAAATAAGCAGAAACAACCAAGCTACAATTCTATCAATTCTATACCCAGCAAAACTATTCTTCAGTACTGATGTTGGAATAAAGATGTTTCCAGGAAAACACACAAACAAAACAAAACCAAGCACTGGCCAGCAACAAACCTACACTAAGGGAACATCTGAGGCATCTTCTTCAGACTGAGGGATGGGGATCATAGATGGAAGGCTGCAGATGCCAGAAGAATGAAGATGACAAAGCGGTAAATTTGTGGATAAGCTTAAGTAAGCCTTTATTCTTGACTGAATGGAAAACAATCATGTCAGGGTTTTTAAAACTGCAGAAATAGAACACATTAAAAATGGTGACCCCATCACATTCTAGCTGCATCCACACCGTGCAAATTTTCTTGCTCCTTTCCTTATGGCCCCTAGGCTGTGCCTTGAAAAGCTCAAGTCTGTCCCCAGGGAGCTGGGGATGCCGGGACCATTGTGCTCACCTCGTGGAGAAAGCTTTGCCTGAGGGATGGGGAAGCAAGCCCTTCGCACGCACCTCACACACCAGACACCATTCTGGAGTGACACGCGGACCACTGATTCAGTCCCAGTGTCACCCTGTGAAGTTGATTACTGCCATTATACATTAATTGATTAATTGAAGTTGATTAGCCGCCATTATACAAGAGGACGCGAGCCATGGAGAAGGACAAGAAGCCTCCCCAAGGCCACAGTGCTGGGGAGCGGGGCAGCCTGGGTTCACAGCAATGGCGCTGAGACCCCACGGTCTTCCTCGGCACTGGATGGAGGAGCATCACAGGATGGTGCAGGGCCGGAAGAGACCTCGAGGAGAAGTTAGCCCAGGGTCCTCCATGTCGTCAGCCCCAATACCCCCTTTTGATTACGAATATTTTCTAATCCCCCATTCACTATTCTAACATGAGCTCCACAGATAATACAATTTGCCTGCACACATAATAATGATTATTATATTTGTTTAAATATAATATTTATTATATTTTATAAACATTTAATAACTATAACATTTTATTAATAATAACTGTTAATATATATTAAAATAATTACTATTACACTCTAATATAGAGAAGAAAAAAATAATTTATAATTTTTTTTTTTTTTTATTTCTAGACGAGAGAGAGAGACAGCGCGAGCAGGGGAGGGTCAGAGAGAGAGGGAGTCACAGACTGAAACAGGCTCCAGGCTCTGAGCTGGCAGTCAGCACAGAGCCCGACGCGGGGCTCGAACCCACGAACCGCGAGATCATGACCTAAGCGAAAGTCGGACGCTTAACCGACTAAGCCACCCAGGCGCCCCAATAATTTATAATTTTAAAGACATGCATTTTACTATGTGAATATTTGGGCACGACTGCACCAAACACAAAGTCTGATGTCGGTATCACAAAAAATTAAGACCATTGAAATGGACAAAACAGATTACTGTGTGTCCTGCTTAGGACGCTCTTGTGGTTATTTCTGCCTTTTGTTCACTGCCTTAGAGCCAACTACTCTGCAAGTTGTAAAAAAAAAATGTTCATATTATAAATGACTCTTGTCCAGAGAAAGGCAAAATGCAAAATGTGTCCAGTGGAATGCAGCTGACTATTTCCCTATCAATACTGACTGGTTTTACATCTATTTGTCTATTTGTAAACTCACTCCATCATTCCTTACTTGTGAAATATTTGTTTGTTTATTACTGGCTATATGAATTACTTGTTTTCTTATTAATTAACGAGTGAAATAAACGTCTCTGACAGTCTCATTTTATAGTTGAGTGAGCACCACGATTACAGGCGCTCTTAAAAGTCATCCTCTAATGTCCCATATGTGAATCAGTGCAGATTCTATAGTCACATTTCCGACTGCGGAGGCTCAAACATCAGGCCTGCCATTGCCATCGGCAATACCATTTTCCCAGAGAGCGAGGAGTTCTTAGTCAAGTGCTAAATAAAACAAAATACTATCTGCCCTCAACATGCACAGTGGGACCATTCTTGGGCAGGTCTATGTGTACTAAAACTATGGGAAATACTGGTGTATGTGTGTACACATATATTTGCATGTAGATTCCAAGCTTAGATAATTACACATACTTGAGTTGGGTTCAAAGCTCAAGTAATTATAAACAGGTTTTCCACCTACACGGGTGTCAGACCCATTGGAAAGTTGTGTGGGGCATGAGACTTGTCATGTTGTGCAGGCTTTCCTGGTGAATAGCAGGGTCCCTAGGGTCCCCTCCACCACAAGGGCACCTTGATCACCTTAAATTTCCAACACCCACCACAGAGGGTGCTGCCCTGTGGAGAACCAAATCCTCCTTGGTCACATGCTAAGCAGGTGCTCATCCCTATGTGTTGGATGAGGGAGTATCTGAATGAAGGAGAGCGAACGGGTGACCATCAGAGGCTCTGACCAGTTAACCTCTCACAGGTGCGGAAAGTCGACTGAGGCCATCGTGCTCGGGATGCCTTTAGGGGCCCCTACGATACCCGGGAAGCTCCCTGCTTGAATTGGCAGCAACTTTACGTTAGGTAGAGAACTACCAGGGAGTTAGAACCACTTTTCTAAACCTCGAGGGAACCTTATTTACATGGGTCTTCTGCGGTTTCCTTGTCAACCTCAACGCCAAAGCCCCAACCACACCCCCTCTACTGGCAACTTCCTGAAGGTGCCCCCCTCTCGAGACCCCACAAGCCTCCGGATGCACTGAGCCCCCGCTCTCTGTTCTAGCAGTCTGGCCCTGTCTAGCCCTCTCACTCGCCAGAAACCCTGCTCCTTCCCACGTTCAAATCACCGCAGTAAGAACCATCGTCTCTATGAATTCTTCCTAGATTAGCTCAGCTAATGTTATTCGCACAGATTGTTCTTAGAAATTGTACCTTAGAATCACCTGGGGTTCTTTAAAAAGTCCTGCTACTTGGGGGCTCCACCTAGAACCAATTAAATCAGGCTGTCTGCGCGAGTGGGGTCCAGGTGTTAGGGTATTCCCAGCCTGTCCTGGAGATTCTCAGGGCGCAGACACCTCCGAGAACCAGTGTGCTAGCACGATACACTGCGTCTAAAATCCCAAACTAAATGTTAGCAAATTAAATCTGGCTACATATAAGAGAGATGAGATACCACAATCAGGTGGAGTTTGCTCCAGGAATGCAAGGTTGGTTTAAGAGTCATCAGAGTAGAAAGCAAGGTCTTGAAGAGCTATTTGTACACCCACTTCCACTGCAGCATCATTCACAAAAGCCAAGAGGTAGAAGCAATCCGAGTGCCCACTGGATGATGAATGAATAGAGGCAATGCGGCCCTTCCACACAACAGAATATCACTCACCCTTAAAAGGGAAGGAAATTCTGTCCCGTGCTCCAACACGGATGAAACTTGAGGACGTTCTGCTGAGTCAAACAACCCAGTCACAAAAGGATAAATACTGTATGATTCCACTCATATGACACCCCTAGAATAGCCACACTCCTAGGGACAGAAAATCACAAGGCGGATGCCGGGGGCTGAGGGAGGGGAGTGGAGGGACGTTCGATGGGGACGGGGTTTCAGTTTTGAGAGAAGAGAACCCAGAGATCTGCTGTACAACAGTGTGCATATAGTTACATCACTCCACTGTATGCCTAGAGACCGTTAGGGGGTAAGTTCTATGTTTTATATTTTTTAGCTCAGTTAAAAGAGCAAGTATGATTCAAACCATTCAAAGAATAAAGAATGTGATATAGAAAAACCAAAAAAAAAAAAAAAAAAAAAGAAAAGCCAAACAATCATTGCTCCCCTTTTGAAGCTGCTAGGACACCAGCTCTTTATTCTGAGGTTTTGGTTTTAAAATCAGCAGGAATGGGGCACCTGAGTGGCTCAGTCAAGATAAGCATCCGACTCGATTTCAGCTCAGGTTGTGATCTCACAGTCGTGAGTTCGAGCCTGGAACTGCGCTCCTTGCTGGGAGTGGAGCCTGCTTATAATTCTTTCTCTTTCTCTCTCAAAACAGACAAACAAAACATGGGGGGCAGGGAGGGGGCGCGAGGGGGGACCTGTCCCAGCTGAAGAGCCTAAGGAGATGTAAAGACTAAATGTAGTATAAGGGGACACCCTGGGGGCTCAGTCAGTTAAGCATTTGGCTTCGGCTCAGGTCACGATCTCCTGGTGTGTGGGTTCGAGCCCCGTGTCGGGCTCTGTCCTCACAGCTCAGAGCCGGGAGCTGCTTTGGATCCCGTGGCTCCCTCTCTGGCCCTCCCCCGCTCCTGCTCTGTCACCTTCTCTCTCAAATATAAACATTAAAAAAATTTTTTTTAATGTAGTATGGGATCTTGGGGGTAATTCCGGAGTAGCAAAAGGACATTAGGTAAAAGCTAAGGAGATCTGAATGAAGTATGGACTTTGTTTAGTAAGATTGTATCAACGCTAGTTCATTAACTGTGACAAATACACCATGCAAAACTAAGTTGCTAATGATGGGGGGAAACGGATGTGAGTCTGTGGGGGAGTCTCTGTCTGTGTTAATGTCTCAATCCTTCTAGGAATCTAAAATCATTCTGAACTATTATAAAATAAGCATTTGTTTTAAAGTTTCGAGGGAGATGAAGCATTATCCTCTGTTTCCTGGACGAAGGGTGTTTCTGGAACTGTTTATGGATTAAGAGACTCAACAGACAAATCTGCAGGGTGTGGCTCTTGTTCAGCCCCCGATTACAATTCGGTCCGGGAGTGGATGTTGGAAGGTATCAGCAGGTGAAGGTGAGGTGACGGTAGCACCTTACTCTGGATTATTTTTAGGTGTGATAGTGGTGTGAGGCTGTGATAAACAAATCTCTAGGAGATGTTTGCTAAGGTCTTTCCTTTCTTTCTTTTCCTTCCTTCCTTCCTTCCTTCCTTCCTTCCTTCCTTCCTTCCTTCCTTCCTTCCTTCCTTCCTTCCTCCCTCCCTCCCTCCCTCCCTTCCTCCCTTCCTTATTTCTCAATAAAACACTGTGGCATCTCTGGTTTGCTCTTAACTAACACGGCGGGAGGGGGCGGGGCTGAGAAGGACCAGTACCCAGACGGGCAAGATGCTGATCCGGCCCTCCTTTGTGAGTTTAGAATTTCCATAAGGAAGAGACGGAAAGGAAATCTGTTCTCTCGGACCCTTGACTCGTCTGTTCAACTTCTTGGGCTCGTGTAGAGCGTTTCGTCCAAAGGAAGCCACCGCCACGGGCCTTTCTGGGCCGCACCGCACCAGCTGGGCTCAGGGCTCCTTGGTCCCCTCACCTCCTCAGACGCTGCTGTGGTCACGTAGCGGTCTGTGGTGTGTGCTACGTGAGGGGAGAGGGGGGAAGAGCCACCCTCTTCTCCCGGGCCTGCCTGCCTGCACGCGAGGACTCTCCTGGCCCCGCCCGAGGCGCCCCCTGCCCTCCCACCCGCTGTCACCTCCCTGGGGTGGAAACTGGGGCTGACGGAGCTGGGGGCCAGCCTGCAGGGCTGAGTGGTGGCCTGAAGGAGGAGAGACGGAGGGTGGCTGGGGTGGAGCGAGGGGAGGAGTGGAGAGTCAGAGGGAGAGAAAGACAATGTTCACGGTGGGGCCGTGGGCTGGGATGGGGTCTCCTTTGTGTTTTTTAAAAGGAACGAGGGTCTTCCCGTGACTCTCGCTTGCGGCAGTTTCTTTTCCATCGGGCCACCTGGGCCCCAGGAACACTTTGGCTTCCGGCTGGGAACAGCTGTCCAGAAGCGTAGACCCCAGAGGGGGTACTCAGCTGCACCTCAATAAAGCCTCCCTCGCCCTCGCACTAGCCCTGCCTGGCACCCTGCTCACGGCTGCGGCGGGCTGGGCCCTGGGGCCTGTGGGGGGTGGTCCCCCTTTGGAGACCCCTGTGTGGGGCAGGGCGGGGCGGGTGGAGGGGAAAGCTGTGTTCTGCTCTTAGATATTCTCTGGCTGTGACTTTACGTGAGGTCCGTGTGTGGGTGGTGCCTGTGCTGGGGCCACGGGCCGGTGGCTGGGTCTCTTCTCGACATAGGGCCTTAGATATTTATTTATTTAAAAACATTTTTTTAAATGTGTATTTATTTTTGAGAGACAGACAGAGCACGAGCAGGGGAGGGGCAGAGAGAGAGGGCGACACAGAATCCGAAGCAGCTCCAGGCTTCAAGCTGTCAGCAGAGCCCGACACGGACTCGAACTCATGAACCGTGAGATCATGACCTGAGCCGAAGTCGGACGCTTAACCAGCTGAGCCCCCCAGGTGCCCCTATTTATTTATTTTTAAAGTTTATTTATTTATTTTGAGAGAAAAACAGCACACAAGCAGGGGAGGGGCAGAGCGAGAGGGACAGAGAATCCCAAGCAGTGGGGTTCGAACTCACAAACCTTGAGATTGTGATCTGAGCCGAGATCAAGACCCGGATGCTTACCTGACTGAGGTACATGCAGGCGCCCCTGGGTCCTAAGTATTTAAACATCACCCCTTCCTACTCCAGGCCTCTAGGTGTCCGTTTGCTAGGGACCGGGCCTTGTGAGTCCCCAAGATTTTTACTGGATAATAGCACAAGGGCTAACCTCGCACCCTGCTCAGCCCGGCTCCCAGAGCTCACGGCCAAGGGCTGTCCCGGGCGGAGCATGAACCCCAGGACGCCACACACCAGTTTCCATGCATGGGAAGGGAGGGGAGCGTACGCACGGAGGGGACAGCGTGGATTTTGATCCCAGTTAGATCAGAGTGTGGATCCTGGGCAGTGACTGCCCTCCGGGCCTCACTTTACCTGTCTGTAAGATGGGAATCAGGACGCCTCCCCTGCAGGGCTGAGTAACTTAGGTAGGCAGCCCCTGGGCTCTACCGGGTGGCCTCCCACATGGCCTGTATTACCTCCAACTGCCCGTTCTCTGCTGCGTCGTGGAGGGGGGTCCCACCCCAGGAGTCTGTCATGACGGGGGCGCCCATCAGCAGGAGCCGGTCTAGAATGGGTGTGTGGCCGCCTCGTGCTGCGAAGTGGAGGGCCGTGGCCCCCTCGTTGTCCCGGGCCGTCAGGCCAATGTCGGTAAACGTGACCTGGGGAAGGTGAGGGAGGGGGACCAGCTGAGCAGGTGACCACTCCCAGGGAGGGGAGGGAGCCAGGAGGGAGCCCTCTGCCCCGAGGCCCCAGGGACAGCCCCGTGACCCGCGCTGCTGCCGGGGAAACGCGAGGGGCTCTTCTAGGCAGATTCTGCCCTCCTGACGGAAGGGGCTGGTGGGTGTGGCGTCGCCCCGTTCTCCCTCTTCCTGCCTTGCGTGTGGCCGACTCTGACCACACCAGGAGAAGATGCAGCCTGGTGGGCCGGGCGGCTGATCCCAGTCAGTGGCCTTTGCTGCTTCTGTGTGGGAGGGACAGCGAGGACGTCTAGTCCGGCTGCCGCCTGCAGCCACGGGCACCGCCGGCCGATCCAACGGTCAACCGCGTCCACCAGGAAGCAGACGGTGAGCCGGGAACAGAGTCCAGGGGAGGGGCTGCCCAGCCCTGGAGAGGGTGAGCCGGGGTGGAGGCTGCTGGGAGGGGGCGGCAGGGGGCCGCCTGGAAAGGCCTTTCTGGGCCTGAGAGCCCGGGGCCCCGCTGCTCCTTCCCTGCGATGAGCCCCGGTGCTCCCTGGGGCTGGGTGGACACTCATTCCTCCTGCCCCCCCCCGCCCCCCCCCCCCGCCGCCACTGCCTCCAGATGCTGCTTCTGCCCCAGCAAAGCCCCGTGGCTCAGCTCCCAGTGCTCAGCACCTGCTCGCGCACGGCCCCGAGGCCAGACAGCCAGGACTCAGGTCAGGAACCCAGGTGCGGGGCAGGCACGTAGCTGGGGTCAGACCCGCAGGAGACGGGGCCTGAGGACACGTCCCCCGGGGAGGTCAGGGCGGGGCTGCAGGGCTCTCGCCTGGGAGGCAGGAATAGCTGTGGGACGGGGGGCTGCCGCGGGGACACGGCCCAGGGCCCAGGGACACTCCCCTGCCAGGCGCCTCGGGGCCGAGCGCCAGCCTCAGAGGGAGAGTGGCAAAGGGAGGCGGGGGGGGGGGGGGGGCACGTGGAGGTGGCTGGGGGAGTGAGGCCAGCCTGCTGGAGGGCGAGCCTGGAGCGGAGGCCCCGTGGGAAGCGAGGGAGCTCCTGAGTCAGGGAGGGCTGTCCTCTCCACCAGTGGCCATCGTGACCTTCAGGGATGCGGTCACACTGGCTCAAAGTCCCTCGGTGGCTCCCAGGTCCCTCAGGAAAGAGTCCTGGTCCTCTCGGGGCCTGTGCCTTTCCCAGCTCGCTCCACCGCCAAGTCAGGCTCATCCCCAACTTGCACTACATGCCAGGCCCCCTCCTCGCTCTGGGTGCCACCCTTGCCCAGCCACCTCCCTTTTGGGCCCACCTCCTGCCCCTCCTCAGGGAGACCCCCCGCTCTGAGACCCCAGCGGGCCTCTGTGATGAACCCTTGAGGACCCCAGAGACCTCGCCTGGTCTGTTTTTCTGTGGCGAAGGCACATCCTGGAAAATGGCACCCCTGCCCCCAAGCTGGGCCTCGCTGGGGGTCTCAGGGCTTCCTTCCATGGGGCCAGAGGGGAAGAGCACAGCCGACACAAGTGGCCGGATGGGCAGGGTGGGGAACTGCTGTCACCCAGTGCTGGCTTCAGGGCCCCCAGGGCTCCTGGGGGGGGGGGGCGCTCCAGTCAGAGCTGGGGGCTCCGGGCTGCACTCCCTGAGTGCACACAGTGGGGCTCGAGCGATGGCCGGGGACATCTGATCCCCCGACAACCCTGTGCATCCCCAGTTTTCCTGTGGGCAGACAGGCCCAGAGAAGTGGGGCCCCTCCCCGGCCAGGCCCTGCTTGCTTGGGGGTGACTGTGGGGCCAAGGAAGGAGCAGGTGCCGGCCTTCCTGGACCTCCTCCATCGACGCCCCCGGTGCCCCCTTACCAGCCAGACGACAAGCGAGTAGTGGCCACGGGCGGCGGCAGCGTGCAGCGCGCTCATGCCGTCGAGGGCGCGCAGGTGCACGTCGGCACCACAGTCCTTCACCAGGAACTGCGCCAGGTGCAGGTGGCCCTCCTGGCAGGCCAGGTAGAGCGGGGAGGCCCCGCTGCGTGTCCGCCGGTTCACGCCGCTACGGGGGAAGGTGAGGTTCAGAGCATGTGGTTGGGGGTTGCAGGAAGCAGGGGGCTGCCCCGGCCGAAGCCCCAGATCAAGGGGAGGGGAGGCCGCACACTTGACCGGCCTGTTTGTGCCCAGCCCCACCTGTGGGGTTGTGCGGGTTGTGCACTGCCCAAGGGCACCGGTGGCGCCCCTCCCCCACCACTGGAATCCTGGAATCCAGCTGTGCGCACTGCGCTCCCCATGAAGCTGTTCATCTGTTCGCAGCGCTGGGCTTGCTGGTGGGGCCCCTCCTTAGGGGTGAACAGCCCAGTGGGGCCTGCAGCAGGCAGCTCATCGAACCTCGGGAGCCCAGGCCCTGCTCTGCAAAACGTGCCCAGGGCCTGGCATCTAAATTCCAGGCCCCGGCGCAGGCGCCCCCACGGCCTCTGCCTCTGCGCTGCTACAGGGCCCGCTGAGCCCCTGGTCCCTAGTGAAATGCTATGGGGAGGGGCAGTCCCTGACCCACAGCCCGCCAGTCCCCTGGTGCTGCAGCCTTCACCTCTGGCTCCCGTGAAGTGCCGGTAGGAACGGGAGCCTCGGGCGGGAGACACTGCACGCACACTAGTGTGTTTTAATGTGAAATCTCCAGGTTTTCAGTGGTAGAAACTACTTTAAATACGGTGAGTCTGAGACACTGTGAGGCCGGCCAGGCCCGCGGTGCCCAGAGTGTCTGTAGAAGCAAGTCCCTGAGACCTTCGCCAAGGCGCTGGGATCGGGAGACCAAGGAAGAGAACGCCGCTGGGCTGTGCCAGGGCTTCCAGGGCACACGCATGGGGCAGCGGAAAGGCCAGCCGCTCCCACAAGAGGCCCCTGCGGAGACGAGGCACGGCCAGAGGTAGGTGGCCCCGGGGGACAAAGGCCAGGTCAGGTGTGGGGCGGACGTGAACTCCCACAGTTGCTGGACAGCAGCCCTGGGAATGGGTGGTGGGCAGGCCATGGGCGTGGCACCCCTAGGTGGCCCATCACCGTGCCCCCAGCATCCTTTGTGTGGGGCAAGGACTGGAGAGCACTCACGAAGAGGAGGGGATGGTGCCGCCCCTGCCACACCCAGCTCACCCACCCGGCAACTCGCGCAAGGGGCACAGGGCCACCGAGACGGGACTGGCTGTCCCGGAGGGGTTCCTGGTGTGAGGATGGGACAGTGTGGCCGGACAACCTGCGGTGACCTGATGGCGGCCTTGGCACCCTCCTGCGAGCTCTGTCGGGCCTATGCTCCCTTACAGGTGACTTGAGGGTCCCCTACCTTCTCAGCTGGGGGAACCCAGGCCCCAGGGTGGCCCTGAGGCAGAGCGGGAGCTGTCTGGACACCACACGGCACTTCCTGGCCGTCCCCGCTGCCCCCCCACTGCAAGAACGTGCCCGAGTGTGCCCACTGTGCCCGGCCCGGCACCTGCAGGGTCAGGGTCCTTCCCTGTCGCCTGTCCCCAAGCCTCCTCCACCTCCGCCCCTGCTCGGGCTCCACACTTGGCCCTCCCCGCTGCTGCACATACTGTGCCTGCCACCCGCAGGTGACAGGCCCATCCCCCTCTACCCCCAGGGCACCACCTCCTCAGAGGCCGGACAGGCAGCGCCCTGGCCCCTCACCTGCTATGGGCGGCGGCCAGGAGCTTCAGGCAGGTCAGGTCCCCGCTGACGGCCGCGTGGTGCAGAGGCAGGGCCCCCTCCCGCGTCTCCAGCGTGGCTGCGTGGCCCTCCCGGAGCAGCCACTGCACCAGCACAGGGTGCGCGAAGCGGGCGGCCAGGTGCAGCGGGGACACCCCTGCGTCATCTTGGTCCTGCAGGGGCACAGAGGGGCCGTGAGTGGTGGCGGGCCGGACTTGCCCCACCCCCCGGGGCGGCACCCCCCAGCGACCGCCTGCCCTGCGAGCCCGTGCCATGCCCTCCCTGCCGGCTGGGCCAGCCCACCTACCGGAGGGGGGAGGCGGAGGAGGAAGCAGGGCGAGGTGGTGGGGAGGAGGCAGGGGGAGGCAGGGCGAGGACGGGTCCAAACCCGGGACCCCGCTGCACCCGGGCCTCTCTGTACTCGGCTCGCAGCCGCGAGAAGGGCTCCCGCAGGCCCAGCCATGTCCACGTCAGGCGCTGTGGCCTGCTGCCTGTCCCCTACCCGTGCCGGGCACCCACCTGCCACCCTGGGGCCTCGCGGCCGGAAGCATTCTCACAAGTGCCCACACACCGGTGAGCTGTGTCCCCCGAGGCCCAGTAGTGGAGATGCCCCCCTTCCACGGCCCCTCGGGTTGGGGGGAGATCTGATGGGGACGGCGGTACAGAGGCCGCGGCACACTCGGCTGTGACGGGTGAGTCTGCCCTGTTCCGGGACAGTGTGACCGAGGGAGGGCGCCCTCGTGCCCTATCGGAGCTTGCTCACTGGCCTCCCAGTCCCCCAGCTGCACAAAGGGACACCGGCTGGCGGGGACAGGGAGGAGGCATGGAGACCCTCCTTCTCACCACGAGGGCTCTTGGCCCACCCCCCACCCCCACACAGCAGGGCTTCTGCCGTCACCCACCAAGGTCCCCGGTTGTCCAAGCCGGTGCCCACAGCTCCTGAGGCCCTGCTCACCGCACTTCTTTACAGACTGCTTTCTAGACCCTGTGGGAACAGGCCCCATGGGCCAGGCCTGAGGACCCTGGCAAGCCCCCCACTGCCAAGGCCAGGCACCCAGCTGTGGAGGCCAGGTCCTCCTGCGTGGAGGCCAGGCGCCCTGGTATAGAGGCAGGTGCTCAGGTGTGGAGGCCCAGGCTCCCTCATGTGGAGGCCAGGCACTCAGCTGTGGAGGCCAGGCTCGCTCGTGTGGAGGCCAGGTGCCCCGGTGTGGAGGCCAAGCTCGCTCGTGTGGAGACCAGGTGCCCCGGTGTGGAGGTAGGCGTGGGGAGAGTGCGGCCGCTCTGCGCGAGCAGCCCCAGGGAACATGAGGTGGCTTAGGAGGTGGCCTTGGCTTACAAGGGCTTTGTGCCGGTTTGGGGTGAGGTGGGCGTGGGGCAGGGACTGTGGGGCTTGCACGGCGAGTCCCTGAAACACAACCCACGCAGGGCTGCGGTGCCCGGGGGAGCCCAAAGCCCTGCGCCTCCAGGCCCACAGCTCCTGCCTCCCCCAATCCACGTGGACGCTGGCCCCAGCCCGGCCGCCGTCCCGCTCACCTGCAGGCCACAGCCTCCGTCGCGCACCAGCCAGCGCAGCTCGGCCAGGCTGCCCGTGGCCGCGGCGTCGTGCACCGGCGTGGCCCCGTTGTGGGCCCGCTGGCTGCCGGGCAGCTTGGCCTCCTGCACCAGGAACTTGACGCAGGCCAGGTGGCCGGCCCGGGTGGCGTGGTGCACCAGGCCGGCCCCCAGGGCGTCCACGATGCCCGGGCCCAGGGCGCCGGCCTCCAACAGCAGCTTCAGGGTGGCCAGGTCCCCGTCCTTGGCGGCTGCAAGCGCCCGCTGCTCCTCCATCCTCCGGCCCGGCCACCCGGCGGCTCTCGGCGGCTCATGCACGGGCCCTGGCTTCCTGTTTCAGGCGTGGACGCGGCTCCCGGCTCCGGTTACCGATAAGCAGTGCACAGGGCAGATGGGAGGCGGCAGGGGGTGCGGGGGCGGGGGGGCTGGCCTTGGGGACTACCCAAGCCACTCCCGCGGTGCCCGGAGCTGCGGTGGGCGGGCAGAGGGCCCAGGGCCCGGGGGAAGGGTCCGCAGCAGGCTCGGGTCCGGCAGGCACCATCCTGCGGCTGGACTGTGGCCGGTCCCCCTTCGGAGCAAGCGCTAAGGAGCCGTGGCGCGCTGTGTCTGCTGAGGTGGACTTCCCGCCTCTGGGGCGTGTGCACGGCTGCACGTGTCCTTCCAAGAAGGGGCTGGGCTTCCCAGCATTCGCTGCCTCGAGTCTGGGCAGCAGCCTGAGGTCATGCTGGCCGGAGTTGGGGGGGGCCACCTGAGAGACTCCTCTCATGGAGGGCAGAGACCCTTCTCCAGGCAACTTCCCAGCACATGGGCTACAGTCTAAGTGTTCTGGCCACGTCCTCACCCAGGGGGCCGAGGGCCCTCAGCTGGCCTTCCCTTTGGTCGATTCCTCCAGGAACCTCGGGGCGCAGCAGCTTTGCAGAGCCAGCAATGGGCACGGGGCCCTGACACTGGGCAGGAAGGCCTCCCAGGGGAGCGAGGGTCTCAGGGCCCACAGCTCGGCCCACTCCCCAACCACAGTGACCGAGTCTCTCGCTGCCTCTGAAGGCCCGCAGGGCATGTTTTCAGAGCTGCCACGCGTCTTCCCCACACTGCTCTCTTCAGTGGGGCCGGACGCCCTTCACTTTTTGCTGGGCAAACTGGGGTCACCAAGGCCTCTGCCCAGGGGCAGCGGGATGCCAGCTTCAGTGACCTGCTTCTAAGGGCTCCCAGAGACACAACCTCAAGCTGAATTTCTTAGGCTGAAGCCTAGTCACAGGGTGCCCAGCCCTCTGACTCCGCCTCCGCGGCTGGCTCAGACACGCTGTGCACCCCAGAGAAAGCACCTGCTAGACACACCACGGAGCCTCTAATACAAGCATTGAAACGTTTTATTAGTTCACTTAATGTCCAACAACTGTTTCCTCAATGTCATCACATGACTCTTTGTACCTTAAAGCCACACGTTAAAATCATTTATTCAGTTAAAAAATCACTCCTATGCTAAGTCTCCATGAGCGCCAAGGGGCACCAGGACGCCACAAAGCACTCGTGACAGTAAGAGAACCCTTCGCAGGCCGAGCTGGGGTGGACTGACGCCCACCTCAGGGGTGAGCCAGTACCCTGAGCCCAGCCGCTCTCCAAACCCTGAGTAACCGACCAAAAGGAAGAGCCTGCCTGCAGGGCCTGGAGGCTGTGTGCAGGGAGGGGCAGGGAGGGGTGGGGAGGGGTGCAGTGGCCGGGAGGGCTGAGTGAGGGACCGAGGGGGCGGGGAAGCGGGGGACACGGAGCAGGGAGCAGGGCCTGACCTGGGGGGGGCCGCCTGTCGAGGAAGGGCTTGCGAGGGGCCCTGGGCGTGAGGGGCAGGCACACGGGCAGACGACAGCTGGGCAAGCATGTCGGGGACTGCAGCAAAAATCAGGTTTCCTATTGTCATGACAGTGGCCGACAATCGCTCATAAATACTAGGATTTATCTGCCAGATAAAAGCGGCTCACCCCACTCCCACAGGGGCACTGACGCGTCTCCACTTGAACCTGTGCCACTGGGCGGCAGTGACAGTGACAGTCCCACACGGGCGTTTGTGTCCTGGGCATATGGACACCTGTGGGGTCGGCCTGACTCAGGACAGTGGGGAGGCCTGCAGCCCTCGCATGCGCGCACACACACATGCATATACACACACACACGTGCACACACATGCATACACACAGACGCACACACATGCCTGTACACACGCACCCGTGCACACATGCATATACACAAGCGTGCACACACACAGATGCACACATGTGCTTGTGCACACATGCATACACACACGCACATGTGCACACACATGCATATACACACACGGACACACACATACACACATGCGTACGCGGGCGTGCACACACGCACACACACACATACACGCGCGCGCGTGCACACACACACACCCCGTCCAGTCACCGCGTCAGGCACTGTGGACACCGTGAAGACCTGCCCGCGTCAGGGAGAGAGCTGTCCCGCAGACCCTGCGGGAGGGCTTCCTACGAGGCGGCCCCGGCGTCGGGCAGGCGCTCCAGCCGGGCCACCGCCTGCTTCAGGTCCTGCACCACGAGGTCCACCTCGGCCGTGCTGGTGCTGCGGCCCACGCTCAGCCGGAGCGCGTTCCTGGCCACGTCGAGGGGGAGGCCGCAGCTCAGCAGCACCGGGGACGGCCTGGGGGGGGAGGGGGTGTCAGCCGCCGGAGGAGGGGCTCTCCTGGGGGCTCGGGGAGGGACCCTGTCCCATCTGTGCTCGGCCAGCTCCCCAACTTGGGGCTGTGCAGGGCCGTCCCCCTCTGCCGGGCGCCTCTGGGCGGACTGCTGGGGCTCCGACTCCCGCACGGCCCTGGGCCCTGGGGAGGCGGGCGCCTGGGACGCAGGGAGCGGGGCGGGTCTCTGGGGAGAGGTGGGGGCGCACCTGTGGCCTGTGTTTCCACAGCCCCCCACCCCTAGGCTCTGGCACCGGAGGCCCCACCAGCATTTTCAGACTTTAGAAACCACTCGCAGGGTGGCTCTGGGGCCCTCCCAGTCCCAGCTCCCAGCAGGGCTCACTGTTCGGGGCCCACGGGCCGCCCCCCCCACAGGCCCAGGAGTCCCTGTCACAAAGGTGCCCTAAAAGCCGTCCAGATAAACACCCCTCATGCACAGGGCTGTGCGGAAGGGGTGACTGCCCTGCCCTCCCCGGGTGGGGGACGTCACTTCCTGTCCCAGCAGGGCACCCCTGGAGGGCACCCTGACCTCCCACACAGGCAGTGAGCGTCTGCCTCCACCCCTTCCCCGCCTGCCCTCACGGGGCCACATTGGCACATGTCCCTTCCCTGACAAGCTGCCGGCTGCTCCTCACTCTCTTCACTCCCCTCCCCCTCATCCTGGGGCTACCTCAGTTTCCTTGACTGGGAACTGGGTCGCTCAGATCGTTCCCGGAGCGCTGTGGTGAGCACTCTGTGAGCCGAGGCCACCAGAGCACGTGGTAAGGGGCAGCCCCCTGCGCCCTCCTGATGCACTCAGACTGGTGGCCTCACTGCTCTGACAGCCACTCCGGCTGCCACACGCAGCCCCGGGCCACACCTGCCCTCAGGCAGTGGCCCCTTGCAGGGCTCGGAGGCCCCCAGGGGCCCCTGTCATCCCCACCCAGCCCTCAGGAGTGCTCTGGCCTGACATGCTCAAGTTCAAGTGCTAGCAACAGCTCTGTGACACCTGCTGCTGACTGTGGACTCTGTGACACCCACTGCTGACCATGGACTGGGACACCCGCTGCTGACCACGGCTCTGGGACACCCGCTGCTGACCACGGACTGGGACACCCGCTGCTGACCACGGACTGGGACACCCGCTGCTCACCATGCCTCTGCTCTCTCCCCAGCGCTGCACCCACCTCCGCAGGACGCCCCACTCACAGCAAGCGGGAAGCCGAACCCCTGCTCTTCCTCCACTGCTGCCTGGGCCCCACAGCTGTCCCCTCCTACCTCGGCCGTGGCCACGTGCCTGGCCTGCTGTCCTGTAATCCCCCTGCACCAGACAGGTGTCTCCTGGAATCCACCCGGCCTGCCACAGCCCTTCAGAAGACCCCGCTGTCTGAGGAGGAAGGGAGTTCCTGTGGCCTGCCCTGCCCCTCCCTCCCTCCCGGCCCCTTCCCTCCCTCCCGGCCACCCATAGGCTGCAGCTTCCTCTCCTCCCCTCAGCCCAGCAGCGTCTGGTCACTTTTAGTGTCCCCGCTGGCTGCTCAGCTCTGGAAGCCCCAGGCCCCATGGCCGGCTCTGGCTGCCGGATGCGACCTGGACCTGCGACCCAGCACACGGAGCACTCACCGATCGACCTGGTCCGAGTGGCAGGCGGCCCCCACACTGGCCACCAGCGTCCTACACTGTGCCAGCACCAAGCGGCCTGAGGAGACACAGCAGGCGGCCCTGAGGCGGAGAGTGCAGACTGGACCCACTGCACCTCGTCTCGGCCTGCTGCCAAGTTTTGGGGCCCCCTCCCTCAGGTCACCTGGGGGGGGGGTCCCAGGGCACAGGAGCCTCTCCTCATAGGTGACCACATAGCAAAATCCAGAGAAAATGGCTTCTCTTGCACCCGATTCTGCCTCATAAAACTGGCCTCAAAACGTGAATTCCAATTAACTACGTAGGAAGATGCTCAGAATTCTCATCCGCTGCCTTACTTAAAACTTGTGGTCCTGGTAGTAACATTTCAACCTAACATCTGTGTTTTCTAAAGGTGAAGCCACTCGGAAGCTGTCTTTATTAAGCTGGAAGGTACTTCCCTCTTCTTTTATAAGCACAGAGATTAAAATAATATATCTACTGACTTAATTAAAAAGAAGAATCTGGCAGGCACCTGGGGAGCTCAGCCGGTTGAGCCTCCGACTTCAGCTCAGGTCATGATCTCACGGTTCATGAGCTCGAGCCTCGCGTTGGGCTCTGTGCTGACAGCTCAGAGCCTGGAGCCTGCTTCGGATTCTGTGTCTCCCTCTGTCTCTGTCCCTCCCCTGCTTGCCCTTTGTCTCTATCCCTCTCAAAAATAAACATTTTTAAAAAATTAAAAAAGAATCTGTCTCACTTGAGTAAACACAGGTCATCACTGAATGCAGTACATCTGCCCCCAGAAAAATGGGGAAGGTGACAGAGGAACGTTCCTTCCCATAGCAAGGCGAGCTGGAGAGGCGGCCAGCAGCCCAGGCTCCTTGGCAGCGAGAATGCATCCCGGCCCAGGTCCCCATGTACCCACAGTGATGGCCACCCCTGGCACCCACATGCTGCAGCCGTGCTGTGCTCCTCCCTGCCTCTTCCCTAGACGGTCAGGAAGTGCTCCGCAGAGTGGCTCCCTTACACTGGGAGGGATGACCAGCCCGATGAAACAGGCTGGTCAACGCCCTGGGATGGGTGTCGGGGCCCTGGGTGAGCCATGTTTGATTGTCATCTGGATTCGGGTAATCCTGAGTTTCCAGCAGGGGAGGCCAGTTATCACAGGGACAAATGAACCCCACCTATGTGCACGTGGTCCTGACTCGGCCAAATTTTAAAGTTGATCCCCTCTCCTTTCCCTTAACCTCATAAAATATTGTTGCAAATTTGCAGACAGAAATGGACAAGCTTGGGTTGCCCAGGTGGCTCAGTCGGTTAAGCCTCCGACTTCGGCTCAGGTCATGACCTCAAGGTTTGTGGGTTCGAGCCCCGCATCGGGCTCTGTGCCGACTGGCAGCTCAGAGCCTGGAGCCTGTTTCAGATTGTGTATCTCTTTCTCTCTGACCCTCCCCTGCTTACACTCTCTTTCTCTCTCTCTCTCTCTGAAATAAATAAAACACTAAAAAAAAAATGGACAAGCTTGTCCAGAACTTGGTCCGTTTCATCTCATTCCCTATCAGCTTCGGGCAGGCGCTGCCTAGTGTGCCCTCGCCCCTCCCCCCTCCCGAGTGCCGTGAGCCTGGGCCGGGAGAGTAGGAAGCGGCACAGGGGCCCGGCCTCCTGGGGACAGCAGCCCATGGGCCACTCTGCTCCCGGTGCCCCATCAAGTGCTCAGCACGGCCGGCCTATTCCCGCCCGCGCCCACTGCCCCACGCGGAGAGCTGCAGACCCCAGTCACCTTGGAGCTGGGGTCCCAGGATGGAAAAGTTGCATGTGTTGGGAAGTCGCTCAGTCCCTGGAAATCGGCTGTTCAGATGTATTCTCTGCTTATCAAACTCGGCCTGAAAAATCAGTGACATGTTCAGTGGCTCAGTGGCAGTTTCAAAGCCCCATCAACTGACCTTGAGCCTTTTCTGGGAACAAAGTCTCAACCTCATCACATAAAATAATGGTTTCATCAATGAGCAGCTACCTATAACAGTTACGGAAACTGACTTGCAAAGTTAATAAGGAGGAAACTTCTGTACACAGGCGGCTCTTCCCTGCAGGGCCCGCAAACCCACTAGTTCTTAGCTCTCCATTTCCATCACGCGGGGCCAAGGTCAGCCTCTGGGTCGAGAGCCCATCTCAGGAGACTTCAGACCAGGGTTTCTGGCCTCCAACCTCTCCCCTGGTGGTCCTCAGAGTCCCTGGAGGTCTGCTGCCCGGGGCTGTGCCGACCCCCACCCTCACACTCAACCAGGGAAGGAGGGGCTGACTGCCCACCCAGTCCCGCCCCGCCCCTGCAGGCCCAAACTCCCCACCACCACTGCGCCCTCTTCTGAGCAGCACAAGCTCATTGGCCAGCAGCCCCGCAGACCCCTGCTCCCCAGCCCCGCCCCCGCGGACACCCAGCTCACTGCCCCCGCTTCCCGTTCCCGACCCCCTTTCCCAGGAGGACCCCGGGCTCACCGACCCCCCCACCCCTGGTTCTGCTCCCGCAGACCCCCTGCTCACAGCCCCGTCCCCACCCTGCCCCCACGGACCCCCGGGCTCACCAGCAGCCGCTCCTCCAGGTAGTCGCGAACCTCTCTCATGTGGGCCTCATAAGCCTCCCCGTTCTTGGTCACCAGCTCGGCAGCCTGGGGACACAGGGACAGCAAGGGGGAAAGTATGTTCAATTGTCACAGAACAAAGAACAACACAGCCTGCAAGAGCAGAGGTGAGATTTCCTGATAAGAGAAGTAACATTTCCTCAGTGCTCATTTTCTGGAACATCAGGAATAGATCATGTTTACGGAGTGCTACTGACCGTGTGACGGGGCCAGGAGAAGGGCTTGGGAAGCATTATCTTTCCTTGTTCAACAGGAATTTACTTTATCAGGCGCTTCCTGATACCTCTGGGCACCAGTCGGTCCAAGGAGCTCCGTTCCATAGACCGAGGATAGCTTCCTGCAGACGGGGGTGAGCGCTCTTAGGGGGCGGGGGTGTGTGCGCAGGGGAGTGCACAGAGTGACTGAGGAGAGGGCCCCGGGGGCCCAGGGCGGGCAGGACCAGGACCTACAGGGCAAGCACACGTAGGTTTCCAGAAAGGGGTGAGGTGCCCTGATTTGCATGTATGATCATTCTGGATGCCTTGTGGACAATGGAAGGGACTAGCGCAGGCATCCAGGCTACACGTGGTCCAGAGTGGTAGGTGCTGGAGACGCACAGGACGCAGACTTTGTGGAGACAGGACACAGGGAACCCAGGGTGCAGGGGACAAGGACCGCGCAGGACAGGCATCTCCTAGATTTCTCAAATCAGGTCCTGGGTGGCGGGAGGCACCACGGGGAGAGAGGGGAGCCGGGGGGGGGGAGACACGTGTGCCGGCCCAGCAGGGACGCCACGTAAGCAGCGGGGGGCATGCAGGACAGGAGGGGCCACGAGGGAGGTGTGAGCTGTGAGAGGCGGCTGCCCGCAGGCCGCGCGGGGGTGAGGGAAATGGGGGGGTCCCCTGGCCGAGTTCCAGGGGAGGAGGAAAGAGCATCAAGAGGGGTGTCAGGGAATGGGAAGGCAGGGAGGAGGCTGCGGGGCAGCTGGACAGGCAGTCTGGGAAGCTGGGGAACATTCTAGTGGAGAGGCACAGGAGGCGCACGGGGGCCACGTGCAGGAGGGGGTCTCCCTCAGGAAGTGCACGGGGGGGGGGCTGGGAGGACACCTGGACTCGGCCTGGGCGCGGGAACAGCATGGGGGAGGGGGCGGCCAGGGGACCCAGCAAACCTGTGGGCCTGACTTGGTCTGCGGTGAACACACCACCATATTTCTGGTATCAGCAGAGGCTCGAAGAAAGAGCTTTTCACTTTCAATGCTAAGCACGTGCAACCCACTCTACAGATCTTGACACGTACATTTCTGGGATGACAAATACAATGTGAGGCTTTTCCTAACATCAGTCCATTCATTGGGCTCATGAACATGATCTCCCCCACGGCCCGGGGGAGACGGATCACGAGATGACAGGGCTGATCTCTGCCTCCTGACTGAGCTCCTGAAGCCCCCGTCATTTCCCAAGTGACAATGCTTCTTGTTCTAATATCTGGACTTCAGCTCCTGACACAGCACTCCTAAATCCTTCGGACTTTCCGGGGGACAGGAGTGTCTTTTCCAACGTGGAGACTCTGGGTGGGTTTCTGGAGGGCGCTGGTCACTGAAAGTCGTGGTTAGAAGCTTGGCATTTTCACCCCTGCTGCCACACTCTCTGGAGAGGGAGAGGGGCTAAAACTGGAGTGAAGGACCGATGAGAAGCCTCCACAAAAATCCCAACAGGCTGGGTCTGGAGGACTTCCAGGCTGTGAACACATCCATGCAGGTGCTGACGGGGCAGCCCCTCCCCCACACCTTGCCCTGCGCATCCCTTCCGTCCACGTGTTTATCTGTCTCCTTTATCATATTCTCTCATAATAAATCAATCATCTAATGAGCAAAGTGCTTCTGTAACTTCTGTGAGCCATTCCGGCAAACTAACTGAACCCGAGGAGGGGTCCCGGGAACCTCGGATCTATAGCTGGCTGCTGGGACTTACAACCGGCGTGCGACGAGGGGGTGTGGGGGCTGTCTGTGGGCCCGAGCACTCGGCCTGCGGGGGCTGACGCCGTCTCCAGGTACACAGTGTTAGAGTGGAGTTAAATTGCAGGACACCCAGCTGGTGTCACAGAATTGCTTTGTGAGGAGACCTTCTCCCGGCCCCACGTCGGGTGTTGTGCATGTGGGAGCGAAGGAGATGCCCCTGGAGGAAGACTCGGGTTTTCCTACACAGGAGACGAGGCACCTGCTTCACCTGCCCAAGCTCGGCGAGGCTTACCTTCCCAAGGCCGGCAATCATCGGGGTGTTCTCTGTCCTGCAAGAGACAAGGGCTTCAATCCGATTCCCATGCAAAGTAACTAACAAGTGTCCCAGGGAGGAATCCTGCCTGCGAAACTCATAAATTAAAATAAAAACAAAATTATACCAACGTTTTCCCTAGACGTGTGCCCTGTGGCTGCCTCAGTGGTGGTCGGAGGTCCCCAAACCCTCCATGTGGAGTTTCCTGGTCCAGTCACAGTCGACATGGCCCATCTCGGACAGTGTATGCTGGTGTCCACAGTGACCATTCTGTCTGGGCCCTTTTCCTACCCAGGAGAGACCCCCCCCTTCAGCTGCAGACCCCAGAGCCTTTCTCTTTGGGCCCCTCTGTTGACCCAGGCAGGTCCGAAGGAAGCTCAATGCTGTGCCCTTCAGCTGAAGCCTCTCAACTCTCACTCAGGACGAATCCTTTATTAGGGACAGCGTGTGTGCAGGAGAGGGACAGGAGGGGCCTGCAGACCGGTGGCTCTCACTCCGATCTAACAAGCTGAAAGCAGAACTCTTCACTCTCTTTTCATTAATACTTAATACTTTTCTTTTTCTTTTTTTTAAATGTTTTTATTTCTAGGAGAGAGAGAGAGAGAGAGACAGTGTGAGCAGGGGAGGGTCAGAGAGAGAGGGAGTCACAGACTCTGAAACAGGCTCCCGGCTCTGAGCTGGCAGTCAGCACAGAGCCCGACGCGGGGCTCGAACCCACGAACCATGAGATCATGACCTAAGCGAAAGTCGGACGCTTAACCGACTAAGCCACCCAGGCGCCCCGACTTAATACTTTTCTTAATTTTAAGTTTTGGCCACTTTGGCCACTTAGCAACTTAATTTTAAGTTTTCTTAAACCTTCAGGGCTGGCGGCTGCTTACCACCCCGTAGAGAACGAGATAAGTGAACTCGAAGCACAGGGTATTACAGGTAATGTGACCCTGCTGAGCTTTCTCGGACAAGTGTATTGGTCAGTTCTGTCCCCGGAGACGGGCTCTGACACATGGGGGTGGTCTAGGATGTCCCCTCTTCGGGCCTCACCCCCTCACCTGCAGGCAGCAGGCCAGACCCAGAGCATCTCAGAGGCCTACCACCTGTGACTGCCTGGGGGCGGGGGCTGGGAAAGCTGCCCAGGTGGCATAGCCGGGCCCGCGGAGAACCTGGGCCTTCCTCCGCTCTGAGAGTTCAGTCAGCCCTCCTCCACCTCCATCTAGGGCCTCCCTGTCCACCGGCTGACGTCCCGAACACCTGACATTCTGCCTCTTCTGTTTTTTTCCAATTAAACTTTCTGTTTTTAAAGAGAATGTAGAGTCACGTGTGATTATAAGAAATATTACAGAGACATTGTGTTACTCAGCTTCTCCCCAGTAACACCATAGCACAAGATCACAACCAGGATAAGGATAATCTACAGAACATTTGCACCACAAAGGCCCCTCCCCTTGGCCTTTTATAACCAGACCCCTTCCTTAACTCCTGGCAACTGCTGATCTGTCTTCCAGCTCTAATTTTGTCATTTTGAGAATGCTCTGTAAATGGAATTATAGAGCTATAACTTTGGGGGACTGGCTTTTTTCATATACCGTAATTCTCTGGAGGTTCCTTCTGGGCTGTTGTGTGTATCAAACGTCAATTCCTTCTCATTACTGGGTGGTGTCCAGGGGTACAGATGCGCCACAGCTTCTTAGGCCATTCACTCCTTAATGGGTTGTTTGCACTTCAGGGCTATTATAAATAAAGCTGCTAGACACACTCTTGTGTAGGTTTTTGTGTAAATTAAGTGTTCATTTCTCTGGGATGAAATTCCGAGGTTGTATGGTGGGTGCATATTTAATTGTAAGAGAAATTGCCAGGCTGTTTTCCAGAGCCAGCTGGGCCACTTCACACTCCACCAGCCGTGTATGAGTGATGCCGTGTCTCTGCACCCTTGGCACTCGGTCTTGTCACAGGGTTTTGTTTTAGTCATTCTGATGGGCGGTGGGTGATGCTCACCGTGGTTTTCATTTGCACTTCCCTAATAGCTAACAAGGTTGAGTATCATGTCATGTGCTTCTTTGCTATCTGTGTATCTTCTTTAGTGAAATGTCTGCTTATATCTTTTGCCCATTTTTTGACTGAATTGTTTGGGGGGTGGGTTGGCTGTTGAATTTTGAGTGTTCTTTATATATACTAGATACTAATCCTTTGTTGAAGCCATCATTTGAAAACCTCTCCTAGTGGACAGCTTGTCTTTTCTTCCTCTTAATGAAGTCTTTTGCAAGGCAAAAGTTTTAAATCTTGATGAAGTTCAAATTATCAATTTTCTTTTTTATGGATCCTTTTGGTATCAAGTTTAAGATCTTTTTGTCAAGCCCTAGAGCCTGAAGATGTTTTCCTGTTTTTGTTTCCTAAAAGTTTTATAGTTTTATGTTTTGCATTTAAGTTCGTCATGTACCTTGAGTTGATATTTTATAAGGTGTTGAGAGTTAGGTGGAGGTTGGCTTCCTACCCAAGGACGTCTAATTGCTCTAGCACCACCTGTTGAAAGAGTGTCTTTCCTCCACTGAATTACTTTAGTATCTTTACCAAAAATCCTTTGGGCATATTTCTGGTTGCATCTATTCTGCTCCATTGGTTTACTTGCTGGGTTTTCGTTAGAGACTGGGCTAAACATTTACCAGTTTGGGGAGAATTGACATCTTTACTATACTGAGTCTTTTGATCCATGAACACAGAATGTCTCTCCACTTATCTAGATCTTTCTTTTATCCACACTGTGTAATTATTGGCTTAAAAATCCTGTACACATTTTGTTAGATTTCTGAGTATTTTTGAGTGACTATAACTGGTATTGTATTTTTAAATTTTGTTGCCTACAAGTTCATTACCAATATATAGAAATACAACTGATTCATGTATGTGTGTATTGTAACCTGTGATCTTGCAGAATTCACTTATCAGTCTTAAGAGTTTTCTTATATATTTCTTGGGATTTTCTACAGAGAGTATAAATATGAACAGTTTTACCTCTTCCTTTCCAATCTGTATCCCTTACGTTTCAACTTCTTGCCTTCTGCGCTGACTAGAACTACTGAAAAAGAGGTAAGAGTGGACATCATCGGCCTGCTCCTGATCATAGGAGCAAAACATGCAGGCTTTCACATTCATCCTAACAAATAGGATGTCAGCTGTAGGTTTTTTTGTAAATGGCCTTTTCAAATCAAAGGAGTTCTCTGGTCATATCATTGTGCGAGTTTTTAATGAATAAGTGTTGAATTTTGTTAAATGCTTTTTCTACATTAAATGATGTTATTTTTCCTCTTTAATATGCTATATTACATAGGTTGATTGTTGAACACTGAAACAGCCTTGTACCCCTGGAGCAAACTCCGTTTTGTCATGGTGTGGATATTATTTTTATATATTGCTGAATTCCATTTGCTAATATTTTGTGAAAGATTTCTGCATCTGAATTCATGAGGGATATCTGGTCCATAGTTTTATTTTTTTACACCATCGTTGTCTGGTTTTGGTATAAACTCATAAAATGAACTGGGGAAATGTTCCTTCCTCTTATTTTTCTAGAAGGGACTTCATAGAAATGGTGTTAACTCATTAAATGCTTGGCAGAAATTTCCCATCAAACTATCTGGGCCTGGAGATTTCTTTTTGGGGAGTTTTAAAATTACAAAATGAATCTCCTTTTCCTAATAGTTATAAAGCTACTGAAATGATCTACTCTCACATTGAGTTATAGTAGTTTGGTTTTTTAATTTTTTAATGTTTTATTTATTTTTGAGAGGCACAGAGACAGGGTGAGAGTGGGGGAGGGGCAGAGAGAGGGAGACACAGAATCCAAAGCAGGCTCCAGGCTCTGAGCTGTCAGCACAGAGCCCATGCGGGGCTCGAACTCACTATCTGTGAGATCATGACCTGATCCAAAGTTAGACACTTAACCAAATGAGCCATCCAGGTGCCTCTGTAGTAGTCTGGTTTTTGGTGAAGTGTTTCCCTCCATCTGAATTGTCAAATTCATGTTTATAGGGTTATTCATGGAATTTCCTATTTATCCCTTTGATGTTTGTAGGGTCTGTGGTCATTCTTGATACTGGCAATCTGTTTCTTCTTTCCTTTTTTTCTTTATCAGTCTTACTAGAGGTTTGTCAGGTTTTTTTGTTAATTAAGTTTTTAATTCCAGTATAGTGAACATACAGTATATTAGTTTCAGGTGTACGTACAATATAGTGAGAGGGTTGCCAGTTTTATCAATATTTTTAAAAAAGCCATCTCTTTGTTTCAATGATTTTTTAAAAATTATTTTTGTTTTCAACTTCATTAATTTCTGTTTCTATCTTTATTATTTCCTTATGTTTGCTTTGGGTTGTTTTGCTCTACTTTTTCTAGGTATGTTGTCAGTAAGGCTCCTAGTCAACAGTAGGCTATTAGCAGTTAAGTTTTTGGGGGAATTAAAAGAGTTACATGCAGATTTTCAACTGTGCAGGGGGTTGGCACCACTAACCCCCATGTTGTTCAAGGCTCAAATGTAGTTGGGTCAATTTCTTAAAAAATTCACTCTGCCAAATTCTGTTTTTGTATTGCTATATTTATTTAGATCATTTACATTTAATATAATTAATATGTTAGGGCTTAGGTCTGCCGTTAAAATTTTTTTCTGTCTATTCTATTTTTAATTTCTGTTTTCTTTATTCTGCCGCCCTGTGGGTTATTTGAACATTTTTCAGATGTTCCAGTGAATAGAAACCTTACTTCTATTTACATCCTTTTAGCCCTCCTCCATTTATAATATAATCATCTTCAATATTTCTTCCACATATATTTTGAACCACATTAGAGAGTGCTATAATTTTTGTCTAAGCCATCAAATATAATTAAGAAAATTCAAAAGGAAAGCCTATTTTATTTACCCATACCATGCTGGCTCCCTTCCTTTTCCTTTCCCTACCCTTTCCTCCCTTCCTTTCTAATGTTCCAAGTTTCCTTTTTTTACTGTTTCCTTTCTGTCTAAAGAACTCCCTTTTGTCATTTTTAGCACTGGTCTTCTGATGATAAATTCTTTAGTTTTCCTCTATTTGAGAATGTCTTACTTTCCCCTTTATTCCTGAAGGATATTTCCGCTGCGTATAAGATTCTGGCTCGACACTGCTCTTTGCATTTGTAGAATACTGCATCACTTCCTTCTCGCCTCCGTGGTTTCTGATGAGAAAGACACTGCCATTTGAATTATTCTTATCTCTAGGAAAGGTGTCATTGTTTTCCTCTAGCTGCTTTCAAGATTTTTACTTTGGCTTTCATTTTCAGAAGTTTAACTATATGCCTTGACGTAGATTTATTTTGGTTTATCCTGAACTGGGGTTTGTTAAGCGTCTTGAATCTATAGGTCTATGTCCCTTGCCAATTAGGGAAATTTTCAGCCATTATTTTTTTTCAAGTTCTTTCTCATCCTACCCTTTCTCCTCTCTTTCTGGGACATCAGTGAAACGAATGTTACATCTTCTGTTATAGTCCCACAGGTCCCTGAGGCATGGTTCTAGTTTTTTGCAGCCTATTTCCTCCCTGCTGTTTATATTGGGTAACTGTTGTTCTCTTTCAATTCACGTGTTCTTTCCTCTGCAGCCCCTATTCTGCTGGTGAGCTCATCCACTGAGCTTTGGACTTTGGTTGCTGGAGTTTTTAGTTCTAAAATTTCCATTTAGCTCTTCTTTATATTTTCTTTTTCCTTGCTGACACTGTCATTGATGTTTCTGAATTGCAGGCTTCATCAGTTCTAAGTCAGGATAAAGGAGGCAAAAGAAAACCCAAGGAACCCACTGCCATGTTATTCTGGTTTCCCCTTCATGTTAGCATTTCTGATAAAAGGTGTGGTCCTGGCACCACCTCACCCCCTGGCTGAAGTATCACTGTATGTCACGGGGACACAGGAGCTATTGGAAAGGAAACAAGTGCTTCTGTGCAGCGCTGCTCATTCCACGGTCATGAGCACAGCAGTGCATCTCAGTAAGGAGGGCTCCGGCTTTGAACCATCCCCACAGAGAACTGAAGATCTGGGAGTCCCACGTGCAGAATCCATCAGTGGGGCAAATTCTGACTTGGCAGTGACGTAGAACATACTATTACAGTTCTTCCAAGAGGCAAAGACAAGCTACTGCCTAGAGACCAAGAGCATTGCCAGTGGGTCAGACACTTTGATAAGCTTCTATCTTACCCTGGCCTGAAATTCCGTTCCTGTCCACCTCCAAACAGCATAGGGTACAGAGGGGTAAGTTCACCAAGTCCACGGACGTAAAGTGCTCCAATCCTGGGACCATAGAACTGAAAGGAAAGGTTAGTCATTTCTTCAACAAGAACCTTCAGAGTTCCTACTCTGTACACGTGCTGAGTGCTTAGGGGCACCCAGAGAAATCCTCTGTACCGTACAAGCCCCAGTCACCATTCTGGATGTGCTGGAGGCAAAAAAGCCTTCGGGGTTCAGGGCAGAGCTCTGGACTCCTGTTCCCAGCCCGGTGGCAACAGAGCTTGACCGCACACCACAGAACAGAATTCGTAAAAGGAGAGGGGCTGGGACTAGCGAATGCCAACGGCTTTTCCTGGGTGGGACTCCACGTTTTCAAAATGACATTTTGCAAAAACCAGTTAAGTGCCACAGTGTCAGGTCAGCACATACCCCACTTCAGAAACTAGCTGAGTGCCGTGCTTCAAGAGAGAGGGCCTTCGCTGCTAATGTTGCTCTCTTCCACCTTAAAGAGAAGAGCCAAACCTCTCTCTGCGTTAATCAAGTTCGAGAAAGCAACATCTTGACCCCCACATCTTCCGTGCCTGGGGTGGGGGGCTATGCGTGGGCTGACGAGGGGTCAGCAGGCACTCTCTGCACACTGCAGAGAACACGCACTGTCTGGATAAAGCCACCTGCCTTAGGTCTCACTGGGGCCTCAGTACCCTCCCTACCTGGCCGGCCCCCACCTGCCCCAGGGAGGGGTGCCCCGTTCTCCCCACTGTGCCGCTCATGAGACGCATCCAGCTGCTGCTGGCCTCCCTTCTTTAGCGCCTGCAGGCGGGGCTGCAGGCTGCTTCACCACAGCCCCTGGGTGCCCTGCTGTGGGCCCTGCTCTAGGGGAGCCTCGAGGTCATGGAGGGAAGGAGGCCTCTGTGGACGCACCTTGTGCCCCACGATGGTCAGGAAGTCCACGCCCAGATCCTCCACGTCCACGCGCCGTTTCCCCAAGGCCTGCGCGGCGTCTGTGTGCAGCAGAATGACGGGCAGCCCGGAAGCTGCCCGCTTCTGGTTCAGGGCTTTAATTTGCTGACTGATGGCAGCAATGGGCTAGAGGAGGGAAGAAGAAACAGCTGAGTGTGTTGCTTTGATTTCATGAAAACTGAATGAAAGAAATACGGAGTCATTAAGCGTGGGGGGTATGCTTAGGAGTCCCCCGGGCTTACACCAATGGTTTAACAAGGCATAGAGAAATAAAAAGCCATAGGATGCTCACACCCAAGTTTGGGTAAACATGATTGGCACCCCAAGAAGAGGATGGTGCAAAGGCACCCCAAGAAGAGGGGGGTGCCGAACCCCAAAGATAGAGAGGGATGGGCAAAGGCCCAAGATAGGAAGGGCTGCAAAGGCTCCCAACACAAAGGTACATGAGATAAGCAAGACCAGGCAGGCAGGGCAAAAGGGCCGATTTAGTCCTGTAGCAGAGAAGCCGCCTTCCCAGGAGAATGGGGCCAGGGGAGGCAATACAAGTAAACTGGACCATAGACCCCTGGGCTGTAGGCAAAGCAGCCCAGGGCGGGGATGGTTAACAAAAGAAAAGGTGCCTTGTTAACCTTGAGGTGATCTCCCCTGTCTGTCTTCTCCCCTAGGCAAGTTAAGAGAAACAGACACGGAGCCTCCTATCTGCCCATCTGCCCGGCGCCTCGATTTTGTTTTATATTGACCCAAATCCCAAACACTGTGTATCTTCAAAAACCTCTTTCCCTCATGCCCATAAGGTGATGTTCACAGTCTCCCTGTCTCTTGGTGCACGCCCATCACGTGTGTAAGCCTTCTGGTCTTCATAAATACAGGGCAAGGACCCTTATTCCAGGCTCTTGTCTTTTCCTGGACGTTAGCCATCTCTCTCTCCTATTTCTTTTTTTTTTTTTTTTTTTTTAAATTTTTTTTTAATGTTTTATTTATTTTTTGGAGAGAGACAGCATGAGTAGGGGAGGGTCAGAGAGAGAGGGAGTCACAGACTCTGAAACAGGCTCCAGGCTCTGAGCTGGCAGTCAGCACAGAGCCCGACGCGGGGCTCGAACCCACGAACCGCGAGATCATGACCTAAGCGAAAGTCGGAAGCTTAACCAACTAAGCCACCCAGGCGCCCCATCTCTCTCCTATTTCTTAATCCTGAGTCCCACTCTCTTGCTAAGACAAGAGAGAACTTTAGACCCAGAGTCTAAGACAATTAAGAAGGACAGGTGAGGGAAAAAAAAAAGAAAAAGAGGAAGAGGAAGAGGCCCAGGTGTGGTGCATGAGAATATCAAGCAGAGTGTGGGCTCCCTTCATCCCTCACTACATTTTCTTTTTTTTTTTTTTTAAATGTTTTATTTATTTCTAGGAGAGAGAGAGAGACAGCGTGAGCAGGGGAGGGTCAGAGAGAGAGGGAGTCACAGACTGAAACAGGCTCCAGGCTCTGAGCTGGCAGTCAGCACAGAGCCCGACACGGGGCCCGAACCCACGAACCGCGAGATCATGACCTAAGCGAAAGTTGGACGCTCAATCGACTAAGCCACCCAGGCGCCCTCCTCACTACATTTTCTTAAAAGGCTAAATAACTTACCATGATGACCCCAGTCTCATTATTGGCCAGCATGATAGTCACAAGACACGTGGCTGGGCGGACAGCGGCCAGGATGTCCTCAACCTCCACCTGCCCGTTCACCTTGGACACAGGCACAAAGGTGACCGCTGAATAAAAAACACAAGGACCGAGGTTAATCTTATAAAATAATCTCTTTTGAAAGTTCATGTAGATACAGCTTAACAAAAGTATTTCCACATTAAAAAGTAATTGATTGTAGAAGTCCCAAAAACAATAAAGAAGGAATATAAGTCACCCATTATCACAGTGCCCAGAAGAAGCCAACCTGAACACTCCTTAACACAGCTTCCGCTGCTGAGTGTGTTCCGTGGACCACACTTCGTTCATGAGGGCATCTTTTTAACTTCTATTTTTTTAAGTTTACCCATTTATTTTTGAGAGAGACAGAGATGGAGATGGAGACAGGGAAAGAGAGAATCCCAAGCAGGTGCCTCTCTGTCAGCTCAGAGCGTGATGTGGGGCTTGAACTCACGAAACATGACATCATGACCTGAGCCGAAAGCGAGTCGGACACTTAACCAGCCACCCAGATGCCCCAAGAGCATCCTTAAAAAAAAAAATAAAAAATTTTAGGGGCGCCTGGGTGGCTCAGTCAAGTGTCTGACTCTTGGTTTTGGTCATGATCATGATCTCACGGTTCGTGGGACTGAGCTCTGCGCTGAGTGTGGAGCCTATTTGGGATTCTCTCTCTCCTCCTCTCTCTGCCCCTCCCCTGCTCACACATGCACGCTCTCTCTCAAGAAAAAAATTTTTTTTTTAAACTTTAATTCCAGTATAACTAACCTATAGTGTTATGTTAGTGGCAGGTATACAGTACAGTGATTCAACAATCCTATACGTTACTCAGTGCTCATCACTGTAAGTGTGCTCATTAATCCGCTTCACCTATTTCACCACCCCCTCCCCACCCACCTGCCTGCCGGTAACCACGAGTGAGTTCTCTATAGTTAAGAGTCTGGTTTTTGGTTTGTCTTTTTTGTTTGTTTTTGTTCCTGAATTGCACGTATGAGTGAAATCATATTGTATTTGTCTTTCTCTGTGTAACTTGTTTCATCCAGCATTACATTTTCTAGATCCATCCATGTTGTTGCAAGTGGCAAGATTTCATGATTTTTTATGGCTGAGTAATATTCCACGGTGTGTATATACACATCCACGTCATCCCTCTCTTGGTGGGCACTTGGGCTGCTTGCACTTCTTGGGTATCGTAAATAATGCTACAATAAACACAGGAGTGCTTTTATCTTTTCGAATTAGTGTTTTCATGTTCTGTGGGTAAATACCCAGTGGTGTGATTACTGAATTATATGGTGATTCTATTTTTACTTTTTTGAGGAATTCCATATCGTTTCGCACAGTGGCTACATTTGTTTGCATTCCCACCATCAGTGCATGGGTGTTCCTTTCTCTCCACGTCCTTGCCAACACGTTTCTGTGATTTTTAATTTTAGCCATTCTGACAGGTGTGAGGCGATATCTCATTGAGGTTTTGATTTCATTTCCCTGATTATTAGTGATACTGGGCATCTTTTCATGGGTCGGCCATCTGGAGATCTGCTTTGGAGAAAGGTCTCTCCATGACTTCTGCCCATGTTTTAATTGGATTTTTTGATTTTTTGATGTTAAGCTGTATAAGTTCTTTATGTATTTTGATTACCAACCCTTTACTGGATAGGTCATTTGCAAATATTTTCTCCCATTCAGCAGGTTGTCTTGTTTTGTTGATTATTTCCATCACTGTGCAGAACTTTTTGATTTTGATGTCATCCTAGCAGTTTATTTTTGCTTTTGTTTCCCTTGCTTCAGAAACATATATTGAACGAAGTTGCTATAGCTGATGTCAAAGAAGTTACTGCGTGTGCTCTCTTCTAGGAATTTTATGGTTTCAGGTCTCTCATTTAGGTCTTACATCCATTTTGAGTTTATTTTTGTGTTTGGTGTAAGAAAGTGGCCAGTGTCATTCTTTTGCTTGTAGCTGTCCAGATTTCCCAACACCATTTGGTGAAGAATGTCTTTTTCACATTGCATATTCTTTCCTCCTTTGTCAAACACTAATTGACAACATAACTGTGGGTTGATTTCTTTAATGGGTTTCCTATTCCATTCCATTGACCTATGTGTCTATTTTGTACCTGTACCATATCGTTTTAATTACTACAGCTTTGTAGTATATCTTGAAATCTGGGACTGTGTTACCTTCAGTTTTGTTCTAATTTTTCCAAATTGCTTTGGCTAGTTGAGGTCTTTTTGTGATACCATACAGATTTTAGGACTGTTTGTTCTACTTCTTTTTTTTTTTTTTTATTTTTTTTAATATTTGTTTATTTCTGAGACAAAGAGACAGTGTGAGCAGGGGAGGGTCAGAGAGAGAGGGAGACACGGAATCTGAAGCAGGCTCCAGGCTCTGAGCTAGCTGTCAGCACAGAGCCCGACGCGGGGCTCGAACCCACAAACCATGAGATCATGACCTGAGCCGAAGTTGGACACTCAACCGACTGAGCCCCCCAGGTGCCCCTGTTTGTTCTACTTCTTGAAAAATGCTTTGGTATTTTGATAGGGGCTGCATGAAATGTGTAGACTGTTTTGGGTAGTATGGACATTTAAGGAATATTTGTTTTCCCAATTCATGAGCATGGAATATATTTCCATTTGTGTCATCTTTGATTTCTTTCATCAATGGTTTATGGTTTTCAGAGTATAGGTCTTTCACCTCTTCAGTTATTCCTAGGTATCCTACTGTTTTTGTGCAACTGTAAATGAGACTGTTTTCTTAATTTCTCTTTCTACTACTTCATTATTAGCATATAGAAATGCTATAGGTTTCTGTATATTGATTTGTATCCTGTGACCTTACTGAATTCATTTATCATTTCTGGCAGTTTTTTTGGTGAAGTTCTTAGTGTTTTCTATATAGAGTATCCAGTCAACTGCAAATAGTGAAAACTTTTACTTCTTGCTTACCAATTTGGATGCCTTTTCTTTCTTTTTCTTATCTGAGTGCTGCGGCTATGACTTCCAGTACTGTGTTGAATAAAAGCGGTGTGAATGGACATCCTTGTCTCATTCCTGATCTTATGAGGAAAGCCCTCAGTTTTTCACTGTTGAGTATGTTGTTAGCTGTGGGTCTTGTATATTATGTTGAGGTATGTTCCCTCTAAACCTACTTTGTTGAGGGCTTTTATCATGAATGTCTGGTGTGCTTTGTCAAATGCTTGTTCTGCATCTATTAAAATGATCATATAGTTTTTATCCTTTCTCCTTTTGATGTAATGTATCATGCTGATTGATTTGTGAATATTGAACCACCTTGGATCTCAGGAATAAATTCCATTGGATTGTGGTGAATGATTTTCTTAATTGTATTGTTGGATTGAGTTTGCTAATATCTTGTTGAGGATTTTTGCTCTATGTTCATTAGAGATATTGGCCTGTAGTTCTCTTTTTTTGTAGTGTCTTTATCTGGTTTTGGTATCAGGGTAATCCTTCTTCTGTTTTTTGGAATAGTTTGAGAGGGATAGGTATTAACTCTTCTTTAAATGTTTGGTAGGAATTCACCTATGAAGCCATCTGGCTTCACTTTTGTTTCTTGGGAGTTTTTTGATGACTGATTCAATGTCATCGCTGGTCACTGGTCTGTTCAAATCTTCTACTTCTTCCTGATTCAGTTTTAGGAGGCTGTATGTTTCTGGGAATTTACCCATCCCTCTTAAGTTGTCCAATTTATTGGCATATACTGTTTCAAATAATATTCATAATACTCTCATAATCTTCTGTGTTTCTGTAATGTTGGTTGCTATTTCTCCTTTTATTTGTGACTTTGTGGGAGGTTAGTTTTTATTTTTATGGGTCTGGTTGGAAGATGCATGGTATGACTTCAGTCTTTCTGATTTTGTTGAGACTTGTGTTGTGGCCTAACGTGATCTATTCTGAAGAATGCTCCATGCGTACTTGAAAGGAATGTGTATTCTGCTGTTTTAGGATGGAATGTTCTGAATATATCTGTTAGATCCATCTGGTCCAATTTGTCATTCAAAGCCACAGTCTCCTTGCTGATTTTTGTCTGGATAATCTATCCATTGAAGTAAGTTGGTTGTTATATCCCCCTACTATTATTATATTACTATCAATTACTTCCTTTGTTGTTAGCTTCTTTAGGTATTTGGATGCTCCCAACAGTGGGTGCATAAATATTTACAATTGTTATATCTTCTTGTTGGATTATTCCCTGTGTGATTATTTAGTGTCCTTCTTTGTTTCTTGTTATAGTTGTTGTTTTGAAGTCTATTTTTCTGGGGGGCACCTGGGTGGCTCAGTAGGTTGAGCATCTGATTCTCTGATATCAGCTCAGGTCATGATCCTCAGGTCATGATCCATGTGGGACTGAGCCCCATGTTGAGTTCTGTGCTGAGCATGAAGCCTGCTTGAAATTCTCCTTCTCTCTCTCTCTCTCTCTCTCTCTCCTCCCCCACTCCCCCTGCTCATGCTCACTCTCTAAAAAAAATTAATTAAATAAACTAAAAACTAAAATAAACAAAGTCTATTTTGTCTGATAAGAGTATTGCTACCCTGGCTTTCTTTTCATTCCCATTTGCATGATATATGCTTTCCCATCCTTCCCTTTCAATATGCACTTGTCTTTAGGTCTAAAATGAGTTTCTTGGAGGCAGCATACAGATGTATTTGTTTGTTGTATCCATTCCATCACCCTATGTCTTTTGATTAGAGCATTTGTTCTATTTACATTCAAAGTATTAATGTTAGGTATGTATTTATTGCTATTTTGTTACTTGTTTGTTTTTGCAGTTCTCTTGTTCTTTTTTTTCCTCTTGTTTTCCTGCTTTCAAGGTTTGCTGGCTTTCTTTAGTGATATACTTGGAGTCCTTTCCCTTTATTTTTGCATATCTGTAACTGGTTTTTGATGTGTGTTTACCATTAAGTTTAAATATAACATCTTAAGCATACAGCAGTCTGTATAAGGTTGATTCTAAAATCACTAAATTTGGGGGGCACCTAGGTGGCTCAGTTGGCTAAAGATCTGACTTTTGATTTTGGCTCAGGTCACGATCTCATGGTTTGTGAATTCGAGCCCCATGTCAGGCTCCATGCTGACAGCATGGAACCTGCTTGAGATTCTCTCTCTGCCTTCTCTCCCTGTTCGCATGCTCTCTTTCTCTCTCTCTCAAAATAAATAAACTTTTAAAAATAAATTTAAAAAAAAAATCACTAAATTTTCACTCCTCCCTCCCCCCCCCACTTTAGGTATAAGGTGTCATACTTTACATCCTTTTATTTTGTGAATCTTTTGGCAGATTTTTAAAATTAAGATAGACTTAAGTTTACTGTTTTTGTGCTTCCTATTTTTCTTACTCCTACTTATGGTCTTTCCTTTCTACTCGGAGAGTCCCCTTTAACATTTTTTTGTAAGGTTGGTTTCGTGGTCAGGAATTCTTTTAACGTTTGTTTGTCTGAGAAACGATCTCGCCTTCTATTCCAAATGATAGCCTTGCTGGATAGAGTATTCTTGGCTGCAGGTTTTTTCCCTTCAGCACTTTGAATAGATCATGCCACTCACTCCCTTCTGGCCTGCAAAGCTTCTGCTGAAAAATCAGCTGATAGACTTATGGGGTTTCTTTTCTCTTGCTGCTTTTACAACTCCCTCTTTATCCCTACTTCTTGCCATTTTAATTACTACATATCTTGGTGTGGATTTCCTTGGGTTGATTCTGTTGGAGGCTCTCAGGGCCTCCTGGATCCGGATTTCTGTTTCCTTCCCCAGATTGGGGACATTTTCAGCTATTATTTCTTCAAATACATTTTCTGTCCCTTTTGCTCTTTCTCCTTCTAGGATCCCTGTGATGCAAATAATATTACTCTTGATGGTGTCACTGAGTTTCCTTCAACTATTTTCCTTTTCTAGAAAGAGAGCACAAGTGGGGGAGAGGGGCAGAGGGAGAGAATCTCAAGAAGGCTCCTTGGTGAGCATGGATGCAGAGTTCAATCCCACAACCCTGGGGTCATGATCTGAGCCGAAATCTACAGTAGGACACAGCTGACTGAGCTGCCCGGGTGCCACACATTTTTTATTATTCTGTTTTTTTCTCACCTGCTCAGCTTGATTGATTTACATTACTCTGTCCTCCAGGTGGCTGATCCATTCTTCTTATTCCTCTACTATCCTATTTATTCCTTCTTATGTGTTTTTAATTTCAGTTATTGAATTCCCCATTTCTGTTTGGTTCTTTTTATGTATTCTGTTTCTTCATTGAGAGTCTCACTGAGGTCTCCCTTCTTTTCTCAAGTCCAGTGAATAATATCTTCATGATCATTGCTTTAAAATCTCAATTGGTCATATTATTTACCTCCATTTCACTTAGCTCCCTTGCTGTGATTTTGTCCTGGTCTTTCATTCGGGACATATTCCTCTGTGTCATTTTGTCTAACTCTCTGCATCTGCTTCTCTATGTTAGGCAAGTCAGGTATGACTCCCGCTCTTGAAAGTGGCGGCCTTATGAAGAGGTCCCAGCCGTGCAGTATACCCTGTTGACCAGGACCCGGAGCTTTAGAGGTAGCGCCTATGTGTCTTGTGTTTGTCTTATTGCTGTGGTGTTTGCCTTCAGTCCCGTTGTCCACAATGGCTGTCTTTGCCTGTTGTGGGCAGAGTTTGGTCCCTGTGTTTAGTGGGTGAGTCTGCAGGAAAATGCAAGGGTGGGACATGCAGTCCCAGCAAGGTCCGGACCAGTGCCCTGCAGGAAGGGGCCTGCAGCTGCCTGGGAAAACTGCCCAGGCCAGGATGGAGAGTGTGGGGGCAGGGCACGCTGTCAGCAAGCTAGGTGGAGCGTGGCACTGCACTGGTTTCCACCAGTGTGCACGTATCTAGGCTGAGGCGTGAAGTAGGGAAATGGCACCCACCAGCTTCCGTTGCTCGTGGAGAAGTCTCCCAAAGATCCTTGCCTCTCTAGCACACACTCTGAGATTAATTAATAAATCTCCTTCCCATATACCCAAGGCATTTCTCAAACTGCTGTTTCCATGCTATATCTCCTTGGGGCTGTTTGTTGTGCTGTCTCTGTAATGCGGGGCCTCCATTTCCTCTCGGTCTTCCAGCTCTTTCAGAGCCAAGCCTGCTGATTTTTAAAGTTCTAGGTGTTAAGCCCCACTGATTGTAAGAACTTGTGAAGTTAGTCCCCTCTGGATTTCAAAGCCAATGTTACTCATCTTCCCAGTGTAGGTCCCCCATGCCTGGGGTTCCTGGTGTGGGGTCTGCTCCTCTTCCCTGTCTGAGCCCATGGTATCCCTCCCCCCGTGGACCATCCCACAGCTCCATTTGGCTCCCACCCTTCCTACTCTCTTCAGTGTGGCCTCTTTGTTATGTTTAGCTGGAGAGAGTCTGTTCTGCCAGTCTTCAGGTCATTTTCTGGGTTATTTACACTGATGTGGACATTATCTAGGTGTTCCACAGGACGAGGTGACCCTAGGATCTTCTAACTCTATCTTCATGAGAGCATCTTGATATACCAAGTACTTAACCTTCACTCACTTAACACTCAGCCAACATTTGTTAAGCACCTACTATGTTCTTGGTACTGTCCACAGCTCTTATAATCTGTTTGCTTCAGATGGATAATATTAGGGAAGGTGAATAAATCAAGATTTTGGTTCAAACTGGTGTAAGACAATGCATCCACTCTCCCCTCAAGGTCCCACTGAAATGAGAAAACAGGTATTTTCTAAATTAGGGGTATCACTTGTGGACAAGGAATTTTGAGGAATTCTCAGAATATACAAAGATGATGGCATTAAAAGGAATAGGGGGAAAATCCCCACTCAGAACAGTAATAGGCAAAAACTACAAAAGATCTAGTGATTATCCAAGTGGAGAGTACAGGGTGTGGGGTTGGGGGCCGCCTGCTGAGGTAGACAGAGGGCTGGGCGCTGCTGGCCTAGCGCCCCCACCACATGCCCAGCACGTGCTGGCTGTGACTATGTCAGTTAAGTGGCTGACTCCTGATTTTGGCTCAGGTCATGATCTCACAGTTCATGAGTTTGAGCCCTGTGCCAGGCTCTGCATTGACAGTGTGGAACCTGCTTGGGATGGTCTCTCTCCCTCTCTCTCTGGCCCTCCCCCCGTCAAAAATAAACAAATATTAAAAAAAAATAAAAGAAAGTAGTGCATCTAGGTAAGACCATAAAGAGAAAAACTCTCTTACTAGTCCAACAGGAAAATCAATAAAAAGGCTTCATAGTCAAGGACTTTCACTGCATTATGTCCTTTATCTTATGATAAAAATACTTTCACATGATTCACCTTCAGGTTTCCAGGTAGGCGGAAAAAGGCTAAGAAGCCACTCTGTTTAAAGGAAAGCATTTACGCTGACGGTCTTGGGGGAAGAAAAGGCTCTTAGTTTTAAAAAGTCCGTGGTCTGCACCCTGTGTCTTAAAACTTTGTATCACAGGGAAAGGGAAGGGTGGCAAGGGCCGCTGTTACTGGCTGGCTGAGGTCCCTCGCCCCTCCGCCCGCCTGGCTAGTGGTGCTCTCTGCCAGCCAAGCTCCCCCCACCCCCATGCCCTCTGCCGGCAAGCTCCCCCACCCTCACCCCTCCCCCAGCCCCTCCCACCACACTCTCTGAGTTGCGGTGAAGTTGTGTGGCAAGAGCATTTATTCTTGTGTTCACCCCTGAAGCTGAGGTCTATTTGGCCCTTGTGCTTCACATCAGAGGAAGTGGAAGCCAAGATTTAATTATTAACATCGGAGTGGAGAGCGCTGCTTAGCATGGACAGGCATACGATTTCACTATGTCCGTATTTGTTATACACAAGAATCTGAAGTGTCTTTCGTTAAATCAGATGACTAGTCCTAGCCGTCAATTACCCAGTTTTTCCTTAAGGGAGAACCTGGCAGCAGGTACAGTTTACAGATCACCCCCACGTGGGAACAGGCTGCGTGGCCCCCGCACCTGAGGGCCACGGGCAGGCGTGTCTGAGATTCAGCAGGTCCCAGGGGCGGCTTCCTCCACCCGGAATCAGGTAGTGGAGGTAAGCGGAGCTGCCCCGCGGGAGTCCCGCCAGGCTGGTCACTCACCGGCCACCTGCTCTTTCACCAGGTGCTCCAGGGGCAGGCGGATGGAGTCGTGTTCCACGGTGCAGGTGACCAGGTGGGGCGTGGCCCCGATGCCCTCTGCGGTGCGGGTGCGCTGGAAGTGTTGCACCACAGAATGGATCACCCAGTTGTTTGACTGCGGAGGGATAGCACAAAGAGCATTCGTAAGACTGGCGCTTGGGGAGGACCAGGAGGCACTTTCTCTCATTTCATTTGCCTTGTGGCTAACACTTAAAAAAAACAAAAAACAAAGAAACAGTCCCAAAGAAGTTCAACGTCTGCATCGCACCTTTTGAACGCCCAACCACAAAGATTTGGGGTTTCAAACTTTCAAAAATGTCAGAATTCATTCCCAGTCAATTATGTCTGTCTTGTTAAAGCAATGTTACAGATTTTTACATTTTATAAATCTACCAAAAAAGGAATATTGGACCCAGGTACCCAGGGCTGACGGGAATGTAGTCTGGCATATTAAGGGCCATTTTATATCTATCAAATGAGCCCTCTGACCCAGAACATCTGCTTCTTGGACTTGATCCCATTGCTACACCTGCATAAAGCAAAATGATGTGCAAAGGTCATTCCTAAGGGTTAGTCCTGAAACAGCTCGACCTGGGATAGCCCTTCGGCGCCCACCAGTAAGAAAGCTTGGTGACTACGTCATGCAACAGTGTTCGCTATATACCAACGTGTGAACACCAAGGGATCCCTTTATGCGCAGATCCCAAAAGATCTCAGATAAATATACTTGCTGCATAATAGTAGTTTTAAAAAGGCAGCAGACATTATACACAGTATCCTACCCAATTTGTATCAAAAAGGGGAAATACAAACACATTTGTTTAAATATGCAAAAATATGCTTGAAAAGGTAAAAAAAAAAAGGAAGGAGATAAGAATATATAAATCCTGGGGCGCCCGGATGGCTCAGTGGGTTGAGCGTCTGACTTCGGGTCAGATCATGATTTCACGGTTCGTGAGTTCCAGCCCCACATCAGGCTCTCTGATGTCAGCATGGAGGCTGCTTTGGATCCTCTGTCTCCCTCTCTCTCTGCCCCTCCCTTGCTCACGTGCTCTCCCTCCCCTCTCTCTCGAAAATAAATTAACATCTTTTAAAAAAAAGATGTATAGGGGCGCCTGGGTGGTTCAGTTGGTTAAGCGTCTGACTTTAGCTCAGGTCATGATCTCACGGTTCGTGGGTTTGAGCCCCGTATCAGGCTCTGTGCTGACAGCTTGGAGCCTGGAGCCTGTTTTGGATTCTATATCTCCCTCTCTCTCTGACCCTCCCCTGTTCATGCTGTCTCTAACTCCTTCAGAAATAAATAAAACATTAAAAATAATTTTTTAAAATAGGATATATAAATCAACGTACTTACTTGCTTTTAATGCACAGACCCTCCTTGGAAGATACTAGGAAACTAACAATATTGGCTTCCTGTATCCAGAGAGGATAAATGAAGGGTTCCGAATAGAAGATTTTAAAACAACAAAACAAAACTTTTCTCACAAAAAAAGTGTGTAAAATATAAATAGAAGTTCAGGACCACCTGGAGGGCTCAGTCAGTTGAGTGTCTAACTCTTGACTCCGGCTCAGGTCATGATCTTACCAATTTGTGAGATCGAGCCCTGCATCAAGCTCTGTGCTGATAGCATGGAGCCTGCTTTGGGATTCTCTCTCTCTCTCTCTCTCTCTCTCTCTCTGCCTCTCCTTACCTTGTTCTCTCTCTCTCTTGCAAAATAAATACACTTTAAAAAAAAAAAAAAAAAGATCTTTTTTAAAAAAAGGTCTTACAAATTCTTTTTTATTAGATTTACTTCCTACGTGTTTGATATTTTCCGTGCTCTGTTAAACACCTGAAGCCGCTATGGAAGCGTGAAGATGGATGCAAAGGAAGATGGACACCCTAATGCCCAGCAACCCTTTGTCCAGGAATTTGGTACTGATGCTTAGTAATGTGGCTCGACGGCCCCCGCCAGCGTTGGCCAAATGACCACCTTGACAAGACGAAGGCAGCTGACGCCACGCACCAGGCCCCTCCCCACCCTGCCCAGGTCCCGCATTCTCCTGTAAAGCCCCTTGGCCTTCCTCCCGGGGGGGTCTGCACGGTGGAAGGCTCCCGCCTGTTGCGGCCTCCTTCGCCTGGCAGAGTGAGAGAACTCTGTCCCTCTTCGTCCCCAGCCTATGTGTCACAGAGGCTGATTTTCCACCACACACCTGCTTGTGGCCAGAACATAAAAACACCATTGATTTTTGTATCTAAAAACTGCTAAATGTTCTCATTAGCGCTAATAATCTAGCTGCAGATTCTCCTGGGTTTTCCTTTCTTTTTTTAAAGCTTATTTATTTTGAGAGTGAGAGCGTGAGCAGGGGAGGGGCAGAGAGAGAAGGAGAGGGAGAGAGGGAATCCCAGTGCTTAACCGACACTTAACCCAGGCAGCCCTCCCCCGGGTTTCCTGGGTGGACAGTCCCATCACCTGCGGGTGACGGTCATGCCTTCCCTCCCAGAAAGGAAGCATGACAGTGAGCGTTACTGGGAAGCCTTGATGCTGTCACACTGTCTCTGAGTCACACTGTCTCTGAATCCTCCTATCAGTTTACAAGTACATGGGGCGCCTGGGAGGCTCAATCAGTCCAGTGTCTGACTTCGACTCAAGTTGTCTTCCCACGGCTCATGAGTTCGAGCCTGGCATCGGGCTCTGTGCTGGCAGCTCGGAGCCTGGAGCTGCTTGGGATTCTGTGTCTCCCTCTCCCTCTGCCCCTCCCCTGCTCACACACTGTCTGTCTCTCTCTCAAATATAAATAAGTATTAAAAAATGTAAATAAAAATAAATAAAAATAAAAATGCATCTGAAATGGGTCAAACATCAAAGCCTTAATAAGGCAAACAACTTAGTAGGATTTAAAAGACTAATTCCAGCACAAGACGAAGGGCAGACTCTCTTTGCTGAAATAGCGCAAAGACAATGAATGCGCACATGATATCACAAACACCCCTCAGCCACCTGGGGTTCACTTCGAGGACAGACACCGGCTAGTTCAAGCTGAACTGCAAAACACCACGACCAAGGATCAGTCTCTTTTTAAAGGAATAATACCAGGAGGGAGTCAGGTTTCATTGCTTCACGTAACTTACAGCACAAAGACGGTGAGCCTGTCTCAAGACTTTACCTCGGTGCCCCCGGAAGTGAAGATTATGTCCTGAGGTTTCCCACCTATCATCTTCGCGAGGTTGTCCCGAGCCGTGTCAATAATGTCCTTGGCCTTCTGACCTTGAGAGACCAGAACGGACACTCACCACTGTTGCTTCACCAAGTAAACACCAGCCTCAGAGAAGGAGCAGACGCGCAGCAGCGGCGCCGGGGGCACTTCTGAGACGACGCGGGTCCCGCTCGCGTGACCACAGGCCACAGCCAGGAGCAGCCGGCGCGGGGGCGGCAGCCGAGCCTCAGTGAGAACTCCGGGGACCGAGCAAGGGGCGGCACACGGGGGGGACGCCCGCGGACCCTGAAGCGGCCGCGGCTGCCATCCACCCGGCTGCTACGGGAGAGGGAAGCTGTGGGCCTCTGCCCCGCCCCCCGTTCACTGACACAGGAGGGTCAAGGGATGAAACAATTTGCTTAAGACCACGCTGCAACACGACAGAAATAAGCTGAAAGGGACCACGTGCCTCGTCAACACGAGGCCCAATGCCGCCTCGCGGGCGCCCCAGGAGCGCGACGGAGGTGACTGCCTCAGGGATGGGCCTGCAGTCACACGGGGCCCACGCGACCAGCCTCACCAGCTGGGAGGAAAGGAGCCAGATCGCATGTGGCAGAGAGAGGAAGGGCACGCGGGAGGGGGTTCTGACCGTGTGGGTGGCTCCTCCTTAGTCTGAAGAGCAACTGTCTGCAAGGCTTGCTGACTGTTCAGCACTACCTGTAAGGGGGTGGCAGGTAACAGGCACCACGGAATCAGTCAGTTGTACATAAACAGAAATGTAAAATCATGCGGTAAAAATCAATATACAAAGTAATCCACACAACCCTTAAAAGACCATCGTATAGATTTTTAAAAATGTTTTATTTATTTTTGAGAGAGAGAGTAGAACAGAGAATCCCAAGCAGGCTCTGAGCTGTCAGTGCAGAGCTCCATGTGGGGCTCGAACCCACGAACCGTGAGATTATGACCTGAGCTGAAGTCGGACACCAAATCCACTGAGCCACCCAGGCACCCCTACGATTTGTATTTTCAAAAAGGATCTAATGCCACCTGAAACAAAAATGAATACTGGAAGAAATTAGAATATGAAAGGTGATGGGGCGCCTGGGTGGCTCAGTCGGTAAAGCGTCCGACTTCGGCTCAGGTCATGATCTCACGGCTTCTGAGTTTGAGCCCCAGAATGGGCTTTGGACTGATCGCTCAGAGCCTGGAGCCCGTGTCCCCATCTCCCACTGCTCCCCGTCTCCCATCACACCCTGCTCGTGCTCTTGCTCTCTCTCTCTCTCAAGAATAAAACATTAAAAATTTTTTTTAAAGAATATGAAAGGTAAGGGAATACTGTCCCTGGATTAATGTTAAATCCCTGGAGCGGGAGAGCGTCCTTGATCCTTAGGAGACCGCTCAGGTGGTTAGGATGCCTCCGGCTGGATGTAACTTATGTTCAAATGATTCAGGAAAAAATGGGGCAGAGTATTAATACTTGATAAATGCAGGTAGAGGAAATGCAGGTTCATTATACTATGATTTTGCCTTCTCCGCAGATGTTATGTTCCAAAACAAAACTTTGGCACAAGTAGTTAAAAATGCAAACCAGACCATGACCTTTGTCTGACAGCAATGGTCCCCCCATTTCCCTCCGCTCCCCAAGGGAATAATTCAGTCTTCTCTTTTGAAAAAGTAATATCCTCAATTGAGGAAATCGGAATATGGCTGAAGATCAGGCCAGGACCTATCATGTTTTCAGGTTTGAAGATGGCACTGTGATGGGAGAAAGCCCTTTCTCTTACAAACACACACACACACACACACACACACACACACTTCTCTTACACACACACACCTCTCTCTTACACACACACACTCACACACGTGCGCGTGGGACCCACGACAGGCAGGTACCATGCTGCCTGTAACTCCAGGGCTCATGGAAAACACGTGTAAATTTAGAAAGAAAGAGATCAAGGTCATGTGGCGGCGCTGTTGGGACCTAGGAGGCAGGAGACAGATGGCTGTGTGTGTTCTCACTCTCACATGTCTGCAGTGTTTGAAGCCGTTCATGTAGCTGAACGTAAAGGGTGGCTGGAGCCTGTGACTGATGTTACATGAGACTCTGAACCCCTCTCTGGGTGCGAGAGGGAGTAAGGGACGTGGTGGCTCCCACGGCCCCTGAAAGCAACCCTCCTTCATCGGGTTGCTCCTCCCCCAGCGCCCCTCTACCTCCCCCAGCAGTGGCCCGTTTCTTCCTTCCCTTTCCCGCCTCCAGCCCTCCTAACATTCCCTCTGGAACCCTCGGCTACCAGGCTCCCAAATCTACTCTGACCAAAGTCACCGTGTGCCAAATCCAGGTCCTCACCTCCTCCCCCAGCCAGCAGCGGCTCGCAGGGGGGCTCCCTCCTCCTCTGCGCCCCTTGCTGGGCCGGGGCTCCAATTCCACACTCCAGATGGCCTTACGCCCTGGCAGGTCCTCAGGTCCTTCCTCCCTGAGCAACTCAAGACTGAATAGCGGCTCGGTGCCCGGGACACCGCTGGCTCCGCTGGGTACCCGGCGGGCATCTGAAACTACAGCTGCCCAAAGCTGAATGAGTGCTTCCTCCCCCAGACCTGCCCCTCCTACGTCAGCAGACACACGGTGGCTCCATCCTTCCGGCGGCCAGGCCCATCGCGCTTCAGCTCCTGCCTTTCTCCACCCCATTATGCAACCCATCAGCAAATCCTGTAAGGCTCTGCCATCAAAAATACCCAGAATCAGACCCACCCCCGCGCTGCCCAGCCAGAGCTGAGCCAAGGCTCTTGCTGGAATATTTTCCTAGCAGACTCCCGTGTCCACTGACCCCCACCGTGGCCCATTCTCCAAGTGGTGGCCAAAGTAACGCCTGGACAACACGACACACTTGGCACCCTGTGCCGTAGCCTTCACCAGAACGGCGCTCGGCCCACAGTAGGTACCAACCGATGCTGCTTAAATCAGCTGTTCTCAAAGTGCGGCCTGCAGAACACTGGCCGGGGGCAGGCACTTTCAGGGTCCACAAGGTCAAAGGCAGTTTCGATGTAACAGTTAGACACTCATTCCTCCAAAGTACCTAGTGAAGCTTTCCAGAGGCTGCGAGATGTGAACAGACTGGGCACAGAAGCGGGTGGGGGTGTCACTGTCTGCTGCTTGGACGGACCTTGAGGAGACGGTCACATGTGCGACAGGGACATCCTTCTCACTAAATTTGTGCCATTTGGGAAAAGATAGTTTCTTTTTCACACACAAAAAATTAACAAGTAATGGATTTATTATTGAGTTTTTAGTGAATTCATAAATACTTAAGGCCTCTCCGCACTGCTCTCTAGAGCGGCAAATACCCGCATGCAGAGTGTGAGGGGCTGCGAGCCCAAACAGTTGGCGAGCTGCCGGGACAGCCACGTCACCGCTCTGCTCAGAGTCCCCTAGACGCTGCACAATGGTCAGATGCAAGCCGGGCACTCACAGCGGCCTCTACAGCCCTACGTGGCACTGTCCCCTGAGCTCCTGAACCCCCAGGCCGGCCCCACAAAAACAAAGTCCTCAAAGCCTCCCACAGTCCCTTGCTCAAAACAATGGCGGTACAAGCGTCTGGTGCATGTCCTCTGCGCTCAGGCCGCTGGCTGTCGCTCTGCCACGCTCCCTCCTACAACCGCAACATCTCCAGCTGGCACACGGCTCAATTATGGCCACAGTTAGAGTAAGGAAATCTCAGAGGAATGAAAAATGAAGATCTCATGTCCCAACTTGCACTGCAGTTGAAAGGCCGATGCATGGCCATCGGCCCAACCTCCGGCAATGGGGTATAAGCCAGAATGGCACACACAACTTCCAAAAGTATCGCTGAAGGACTCAGGCATTGCTTTCCCCTCCCTCTTTCTTTCCTTCCCACAGGCTGGACTGCGCACGTGAGGACCTGAGCAGGAGCAGCCACCTTGACCACCGGGGGAACGGGCAGGTGGAGCGTGGGAGAATCGGGTAGAAGGAGCCAGGGTGGCGGGTATTGGCTGTGTGACCACCTGGGCCCTGGACGGTCGGAGAAATGCTCTTCCACCTATTTAAGCTACTGTTCCATGGGGGTTTCTGTCTCCCACAGCCAAATGGGACATTTTCCACGCTGGCTCACACACGGTTTTTCTTTAGGGGGTGGGTATGGGAAACAAGAAATCTTCCTGTCTTATAACACGCACTTCCCACTTGAACCACATGCTGCTGCCTGGCTCCAGGTCATCAATAAGCCCACACCATGGCTCTGACTGGGTCCAGAACGCCACTCAAGGGCTTCGGCATACTTGACGTGACCAGTCCTTGACTGATGGACACTGAGGGGATTTCCAACCTTTTGCTGTTATAAGCAAGGCTGTGATAAGCATCCTGGGTATCGAAACTGTCTCTACATGTCCTTAACATCTTCCCTAAAATAAATTCTCCCACAGGAATTATTATCACATTAAATCATAATATTGTGAAGGTAATCAAACCATTCTATCATAAAGGTGATTTCCTTTCCTTCCCTTCCCCCGCCCCCCAGTTCTACCTGAGCACCAACAAGTGAATTGCAATGTATACTTTAGTTAAGGTTCTTAACAAAGAAACAAAGGCCTCGAAGACAACCTCAAAGCCAGTGACGGTCTCTATCAGGCCAAGAAGGGGAATTTCTCCTTCAAGCCTATTCTTTCTTTTTTTAAATGTTTATTATTATTTTTGAGAGAGAAAGAGAGAGAGAAAGACATAGCATGAGTAGGGGAGAGGAAGAGAGATGGGGGGGAGACACAGAATCAGAAGCAGGCTCCAGGGTTTGAGCTGTCAGCACAGAGCCTGATGCGGGGCTCGAACTCACAGACTGTGAGATCTATGACCTGAGCCGAAGTTGGATGCTTAACTGACTGAGCCGCCCAGACAGCCCCTTCAAGGTTATTCTTAGACTTCTTTATAATAAATGTTTTTTCTTAGCATTTCATTGTTCTCTATATTCTCAAGTTTAACTCATCAGAAAATACAAATTTACTAGAGGAAAGCTTAGCTACAAGGCAATGTCCAAAAGGTTAGCCAGAACACACATACCAAATAAACCAACACAGAAGTTAATGAATGACTAGTACCTGGTTTTGAAAAAGCTTTTAAGTTACCAAGCCGTGAAGCTTTTAGTAAACAAACACATATGAAAACACACAAAAGCCTGTAAACAAAGTTGTATATGGGGGCACCTGGGTGGCTCAGGTCATGATCTCATGGTTTGTGGGTTTAAGCCCCGCGTCGGGCTCTGTGCTGACAGCTCAGAGCCTGGAGCCTGCTTCAGATTCTGTGTCTCCCTCTCTCTCTGACCCTCCCCTGCTCAAGCCGTCTCTCTCTCTCAGAAAAAAAAAAAACAAAAAACATTAAGTTATATATAAGTATTACTAAATCCTAGGATTTGGCAACAGTATGTTGAAAGCTTTTAGTTCGTTATAATCCATATTTGTATTATCTTAATTATCTGATAAGCATTAAATTAAAAAGGCACAACTAGAGCACTATATAAAAAACATAATGTAAGTGTGACATAACACTACTGACTTGAAGCAAATTATTTTCCACACCACCAACTTAATGATCTACATTAAAACAAGAATAAGTGAGAAATAAGAATATTTTAACAAAAGTAAAGAATTTTTTTTAAATGTTTTTTTAATGTTTTTTATTTATTTCTAGGAGAGAGAGAGAGAGAGACAGCGGGAGCAGGGGAGGGTCAGAGAGAGAGGGAGTCACAGACTGAAACAGGCTCCAGGCTCTGGGCCGGCAGTCAGCACAGAGCTCGACGCGGGGCTCGAACCCACGAACCGCGAGATCATGACCTGAGTGAAAGTCGGACGCTTAACCGACTAAGCCACCCGGGCGCCCCAAAAGTAAAGAATTTTTAAGTAATTTTCATTTTTTAAAAAAGGCCATGATTATATGCAATCCTGATGATTTAAAAGATTTCACAATTTTTTAAGACTCAACTAGGACAGACAGATACCTGAAAGGGTTTTAATGGGTACTGTTATTACAAACAGCTCTTAATAAAACACCTTCTTTATCTGAGTAAGGGGGATGGGAGTGCGTGTTACAAACGAAAGATTAGTGTATCAACCGGCTCAATGAAGTCTGGACTTCTCTGGGAGTAAAAACAAAAATCAAACAAACAAAAGACCTACCAGAAACGACACCTAAGATTTGCAGTTAACAGAAAATCTGTTCAAAACCAAGTGACCACAGGCAGTGGCCCATGTCTCCGGGACAGCCTCCGCCCGCGCGTCTCCCATCTGGCAGCGTCTCCCAGGGTTACCTGCAGGGTAGGGGCTGCTGGGGTTTCCCCAGGCTTCCCGCATGGCCTCGGTCATGACCTGGATGACTTCCGGCTCCAGGGGGGTGGTTGCGTTATAGTCCATATACACTTTCCTGCTGGGAAGAAAACAAAGATGTGTCTGTTAAGGAAAAGGAGAGGAATCCGGAAGCGCAGCCACCCTGTGTCATCACCTGCGTAGGAGCGAAGAGCAAGGGCAGAGGCTCCTCTGCGTGAACACCACGCGGGCGTCCACACACTGTACACGGCAACCTCCACGTCTTCATCAATTATGGAAAGGTGTGCATCATTTTCCAATAATCTGGCGTTTACTAGTGTCCTTTACAATCACTAGGAGACCATCCACTTAGATTTTCAAGGCCCCTTCCCACCCCTTGGTAGGATCAGTGGTCCCGGCTACAAAGGACGATCTGTCTCCTGTCCTACAGACAGAAGCAGGGGCACCGTGCACCCGCAGACAGCCACCCATTCCACCGGGCTTTCTAGCTTCATCAGTAGTTTTTCTTTCTTTCTCTGCAATTTCTGGGACCGCCGGAGGCTCAGCTGATCTGGGCGCCCATTCCTCCCCACACCCTCCCCTTTGTGCCCGACACCGGGCAGACCTGCTTCTCCCTCCCAGCTTCACTTTTCTGTGCCTCGAATGACCACGACCCCTGAACCCACTTTTCTTTTTAGGTCTTTGCTCCATCTTGACTTTTTGTGAAGCCCCCTGCGGCGGCCGGTCCCCCTCCTCCCAGTGGCCGGAGACCCCCTGCCTCCCTCTGTCCCCACGGCGCTCGGCAGCCTCCGTCCAACACACTACACTGGGTCCTTGTCTCCTCCCTGCAGTCACAATGTCAGGGGCAGAGGCGCACAGGCTCTGTCACCCACAGTGAGAGCAGCGGCCGCCACACAGGGGCTGGACTCACAACAGAGAAGCACATCTGCTGACAGGCCCTCCTATGTAAAACTCACCTGTGTAGCTTTTCACCAATATCAAACCCTTCAGATACTTTCATAAGTAGGTACAATAGGTAATCCTGCCTAATACTATCATTTTACCTGATTTTAAAATCAGTGACGGGTTTTTAAATGTTTTATTCATTTCTGAGAGAGAGAGCGAGAGAGCGCTAGTGGAGGGGCAGAAAGGGGGGACAGAGGACCCCAAGCAGGCTCTGTGCCGTCAGCAGGAGCCGCATGCGGGGCTCCAGCTGGGGAACCAAGAGATCATGACCTGAGCCGAACGTGGCCACTAACGGAGCCACCCAAGTGCCCCTAAAATCAGTAACTGTTTAATGAAACCAATCCACATGAAAATTCAAATATAATTACCAACCGTGGCTGTTAAAAGTTTTAAAAAAAAGGGGGCGCCTGGGGGCTCAGTCGTTAAGCGTCCGACTTTGGCTCAGGTCATGATCTCACAGTTCATGGGTTCGAGCTCCATGTCGGGCTCTGTGCTGACAGCTCGGAGCCTGGAGCCGCTTCAGATTCTGTGTCTCCCTCTCTCTCTGACCCTCCCTCTGCTCATGCTGCCTGTCTCTCTCTCAGAAATAAATAAAACATTAAAAAAAAAAAGTTTAAAAAAACCCCAATATTTTCATGCAACATCTTGTTGTCCAAAGTCACCTGATTGGCTTAAGGCTTTGGTAAGTTTGAGCCCCCGCCACTCCCACACTGGAAAAGTGCTGTCTGCTGTGACTTAAATCTGCAAGTGCCCTTAATTTGGCCCACACTTCCTATTAAGTACCCTACATTTCCGCAGGCTACTAATGTCAGCTCCGGACTGCAGCTTTCAGTCTGCCGCTGGGGTGAGCTCATTTATGGCTTGAGTTTCAGATGAACGTTTTATAGATAACTCTGCTCTGTTATTTGCTTCTTCCTTAAAATGCTATCGCTCTCGTACGGGAAAGCTAAACTCTCACTATGTTCATAACCAAAATGTAATAAAAAGGTATTGTGAGCCTCCTCTCCATTCAAGTTTCTCTGCAGGACTTTCTCCCACCCCCCACCCCCCACCCCCTTGCTCAGTCTCCACCAAAGTGGACTGCCTGGTGAAAGACATGGTCACATGTAGGCCTGGACCCGAATTTTAAAGACACGCCACTACTCATACTCCGGTGGAGAGGACTACCAAACCAGAGGAAGCCCAACCCCACAAAGGGAAAATGCAAAGCTCCAGGTGGCTGAGGCCAGCAGCCAGGGAGGCCAGGTCCCAGAGCCTACTTCCCTGCAGGGGCGCACCAGCCAGCCCTGCGGGTTCCGTCGCAGACGCCCCACTTCGCCACCGCCGCCCTCTCCTAGACTTTTACGAAAGATTCCCAACGTTGCCCTGTCCTGCACCCGCCCGCCCCTGGTATACACGTCCCGAAGCCCTTCCGAGCTCCGCGGCCCTGCCAAGCCCGGCGCCCGGGCCCCGCGCGCGCCCGCAGCCCCGGCTCAGTCCCCGCCGCCCCCTCCCCTGCAGCGGCCCCCCGCCCGCCCGGCGCGCTCTCCCCGAACCTGAGCGCGGACTCTCGGACGTCAGCTGCGCGGGAGCCCTGCCCGCGCCGCGCCTCCCGGTTCGCAACCGCCAGCGTGAGCCTCCCCGCCGACGGCCGGCCCGCGCCGCAGGCCCGCGCGGGGCCCTCAGGTCCGCGGCGACCGCCCCCTGGAGCTCCCCCTCCGGGCGGGCCCCTCCCCCGGAGAGACCACTGCCCCCTCCCGACCCCCCGGAGCTAGACCCCTCCCCCGGAGAGACCACCGCCCACTGCCCCGTCCCACCCCCACTTCGCCTTCGGCCTCCAGGGGCGGTGCCCTCCCAACCCCTCGCCCCGCGGCGCCCGGAGGGCTTCCCCGAGGAGGGCGCCGGCCGCGTCTCCCTCACGGCGCGCACCTCTCCGGTGGGTTCTTCTCTCCACCGCTGCCGGGCTGACTCGCCGCGCGCCCTCGCGCGTCCCTGGTGGGCGCCGCGGCCGCCTCCATCATGCCCCCGCGGGACCCCAACCGGCCGACCGCGCGAGGCGCGCCCGGGGAGCGCCTCCGGGAGCCGTGGCGGAGGGGGCGGGGCTGCGAGGCCCGGGCGGCGTCCGGATTGGCTGAGCTTTGCACTCCGGCCAATGCCTGGGGGCAGCACAGGTGGGATGCCGATTGGCTGCGGGCGGTCAGGTGACGCGTGTGCGTCACGGGGGCGTGGTCACGGAGGCGAGGAGGCGGGAGTGTGGGTTCTTCTGGATTCCACACTCGTGCGTCCCCACGGGCCCAGGGTCGGGGCCCAGGGTCGGAGCCCAGGGTCAGAGCCCGGGCCGGGGCCAGCCTATCAAGTGGGCACTGTTGTCCCCATTTTACCCATGGGGAAATTGAGGTACGGTATGGACAAGCTCAGCACCGTGCCCAAGTTCACATGGACAGTGGAAGACCCAGAATTTGAAGTCAGAAATGCTTTGCCAAGAAGGTGAATTCTAACTGGCTTTTCGTAGACTTTCTCAGTTTGGCCTCCTGTTGGGGTCCAGGCGTTGTCTCTTCCGGTTCTGCAAGTCTCTACATTTCTGGGTCCCTTATTTCCTTTCATTCTTGCTTGCAAAGTGGCTCATTTCTTGCGACATGCAGCCTAGCAAAGGACACATCAAAATTTAAGAAGCAAAGAGACACACAGGAGCTCACGAACTCTCAGCAGAGGAGGAAAAGAAAGGGAAAGTAGGAAAGCATGTCCAAGAACAGATGAGCGTGTAGAGTGCAGCGGAGAGGGCGTCTGGAAAGTGTCTACCGTATACAGTAGGAGCCAGTGACGGATTTAGTAAGAGAACTTTTAGTACAGCAGTGCGGAGAAGGCAGAAAAGCGTGCAATGAGTTGACGGATGAACGGAACATGAAAGAACAGAGAATGTTGTCAACACTTTACCAAAGTTTGAAAAGGGAAGGAGCCATAAAAAGGGGCTACAAGACTAAGGGAAATATTTTAGAGACTGAACGTGTTTATAAGCTGCAGGGAGGTAGCTAAGGAGAAAACTGAAGAGAGAAGAGGCGGAGTCCTGGAGGAGATGGGAGGGTGTGCACTTAAGAGAGAGCAAAGGTTGGGGGTACTTGAAAGGGAGGGGGCAGGTTTCCTTCTCTAGATCTGTAGGGAAGGCTGTATGCATGAGAGCTGGAAGGGTCCAGGGACAACTGGCAAGGTGATTCATCTCAAGCACTTCTTGGACCAATCAGGCAGCAGTTTCTCGTGGATATAGTGAGTGTGTAGTGGAACCAGACAAGATAGAGCCCCAGGTGGCAGATACCTAAAATGAACAGAGGACTCGCCCCCAGAGGACGGGTTGCGGAGGCCTCCATTTACCTCCTCACTCTTACTAAAAGCATGCAGCAGCCACCACTATTCCACGTGGGCTGGTCAAAACAGATGGAACGAATGACCAACAAGATGTCTTCATTACCAAGACAAGTACCCGATAAAGTCCAAACGCGTGAGGAATAGTATCTCCACGTGAAACTGAGATGATAAATACAGCCAACAGAACTCATGCCGAAGGAGAACGGTAGAGCTATCAGAATAAGTCTTCATGACAGAGGAAAGCTCTGTATGGAGAGAAGTGGCTATTAAAAAAAAAAAAAGGTAGTTATGAAACAAAAAAACTATAAATCAAGTTATATATTTTTTATTTTTTTTAAATGTTTTATTTATGTCTAGGAGAGAGAGAGAGAGACAGTGTGAGCAGGGGAGGGTCAGAGAGAGAGGGAGTCACAGACTGAAACAGGCTCCAGGCTCTGAGCTGGCAGTCAGCACAGAGCCCGACGCGGGGCCCGAACCCACGAACCGCGAGATCATGACCTAAGCGAAAGTCGGACGCTCAACCGACTAAGCCACCCAGGCACCCCTATTTTTTTATTTTTTATTTTTGAGAGACAGAGTGTGAGTAGGGGAGGGGCAGAGAGATTGGGAGACACAGATTTCAAAGCAGACTCTAGGCTCAGTACTGTCAGCACAGACCCCGGCGTGGGACTTGAGCCCACACACCGCAAGATCATGACCTGAGTGGAAGTTGGTTGCTTAACCAACTGAGCCACCTAGGTGCTGCTCTAATCAAGTTTTAAAAACTCAATAGAGTTGCCAGGGTTTGGGGGGAAAGAAGGGCACGGAGGATTTTTAGGGCTGTGAAACTATTCTGAACGGTACAGGCATACCTTGTTTTATTATTCTTCAATTTATTGTGCTTCTCAGATACTGGGTTTTTTGCAAACTGGATTCAAGCCCTCGGTGGAGGAAGTCACTGCAGATGGGGTGGGAACACAGGAGACCCAGAATGACAAGCGGAGCGCGAAGACGGGGCTGAACGCCTGGCTGCGATCTTGGGGGACATCTGGAACGGATGAGGGGTTGCTTCTTAGGGCCGAGATAAGAAAGTGGTTTCCCGAGATGGAATCTACTGCTGGTGACGATGCCGTGAAGACTGCTGACGTGACCACAAAGGATTTGGAAGGTGCGTACACTGGGTTGATGAAGCAGCGGCTGGTGTGAGAGGACAGACACCAGTTTCGCAGGAATTTCTACTGTTGGGTAAAATGCCATCAAATAGCGTCATGTGCCACAGAGAAATTGTTAATAAGAGGAAGTCAAGTAATGCAGCAAACTTCATTGTTGTCTTATTTTGGGGAACTGTCACAGCCACCACCCTGATCAGTCAGCGTCATGAACATCAAGGCAGGACCCTCCTCCAGCAAAAGGATCACGACTCACTGAGAGCTCAGATGATGGTTAGCATTGCTTAGCAATAAAGTATTTCTTAATATAACTTAATTTTTAATTAAGGTATGTACACTGTGTTTTTTGACATGCTGTTGCACACCTGATACACTACAGTGTCATGGAAACAGTAACTTTTATATGCACTGAGAAACCAAAAACCATTTGACTTTATTGCGATATTTGCTCTATTGCGGTGTTCTGGAAGCAAACCTGCAATATCTTGGAGGTATGCCTGTGCTATAATAATGGATACATTTCAGTATACGTTGTGAAAACCCATTTATCATACACCAAGTGTGAACCTCCAAAGTAAACTATAGACTTTGGGTAATAATGACTTGTCAGTACAGGTTCATCAGTTTTGACAAATGTTGTATTTGTGGGGTGTCTGCAGTGGGAGAGGCTGTGCATGTAGGGCGCAGGGGTATATGGAAACTACTTTCAACTCGGTTTTGCTGTGAACCTAAAATTGCTCTAAAAAGTAAAATCTATTCTTAAAAAAACGTGGGGCACCTGGGTGGCTCAGTTGGTTAAGTATCCGACTTTGGGTCAGGTCATGACCTCACAGTTTGTGGGTTTGAGCCCCGCATCATGCTCTGTGCTGATAGCTCAGAGCCTGGAGCCTGCTTCCCATTCTGTCTCCCTCTCTTTGGTGCTCCCCCACTCGTGCTGTCTGTCTCTCTCAAAAACAAACATTTAAAAAAATTTTTATTTTTTTAAATAATTTTTTATAGTTTATTTTTGAGACAGAGAGAGGGTGCGTGTGCACACAAGATGGGGAGGGGCAGAGAGAGAGGGAGACAGAATCTGAAAAAGGCTCCAGGCTCCGAGCTGTTAGCCCAGAGCCCGATGTGGGGCTTGAACCCACAAACTGCGAGATCATGACCTGAGCCGAAGTCGGACGCTCAACCGACTGAGCCATCCAGGTGCCCCTAAAAAAATTTTTTTTAAAACACAAGAGATGAGCTAAATAGGCTCGAAGAGCAAATTAGTAAGCTGAATGCCAGAGCATAGGAATTCTCTCCAATTATTGCTTAGAAGCATAAAGGGATAAAAAATTTGAATGAAAAGAAACATCCATCCAATACAGTGATTCTCAACTGGGAGTGGCTTTTCTGTCCAGGGGGGATTTGGCAGTGCCTGGAGTTTATTTTAGTTGTCATAATTGGAGGGCAGGCCCTTCTGGGACCTAGTGATTAGATGCCATTAATTTCCTACAACACACAGGACCACCCCCACAACAACGAACTATCTGTCCCAAAATGGAATGGAATAGTGCTGAGGCTGAGAAACCCCGGTGTGGTTCCATTTGGGATCATATTCCCTGTCTTAAGACTTCATTCAAAATTTCTCCTAAATTTCTTCTAGTCTGCTGATAGGACTTCTGTTTTTGCATGCATGAGAAAATTCCTTTTTCTTTTAATGTTTACCTAGTTTGGGAGGGAGGGAGGGAGGGAGAGAGAGAGAGAGAGAGAAATAGAAAGAGAGAGAGCATTCCAAGCAGGCTCTGTGCTATCAGTGCAAAGCCTGACATGGGACTTGATCCCAAGAACCAAGAGATCATGACCTGTGCCAAAATCAAGAGTCAGACACTTGAGCCACTGAGCCACCTGGGAAAAGTCTTTTGCCAACATCTTTGCTATTTTCTCTAGATAAAGAATTTTATCTTGAATTTTTTTCTTTTGGTTCACGTATTTCTCCACCGTTTTCTCACTTGCATTGCTTCCAGTGAGAATCTGCTGTCACCCTTCTCTTTGTTCTTCTGCGTATTATGTGTCTTTATTTCCTGCTTTTAATAGTTTTGCTCTATCATTGACTTTTTTTTAAAACATTTTTTAAAGTTTATTTTGAGAGACAGAGAGAGTGGAGGAGGGGCAGAGAGAGAGAGAGAGAGGGAGAGAGAGAATCCCAGGAAGGCTCCGTGCCGTCAGCACAGAGCCCAACACGGGGCTCGAACCCACGAACCATGGGATCATGACCTAAGCTGAAACCAAGAGTCCGACACATAACCAACTGAGCCACCCAGGCGCCCCACTCTGTCATTGCTTTTAAGCAATTTTGGACGTGACTTGGTGTAATTTTATGTCCTTGTGCTGTGGAGTTGTTGACCTTCTTGGATCTGTGGGCTTGTAGAATATATCAGTTTGGAAATGTTTCAGCTCTTATTTCAAATACGTTTCGCTTCCCTGCTCCTCTGAAGACCCCCAGTTACAAGTATATTGGGTGTGTGAAGTCGTCTTATAGCTCCGTTAAGTTCTATTTTTTCTTTGCCCTAATTTCCCCCCACCTGTCCTTTATTCTGTAT